TCAGGTCGGAAGAGCCCATACCACTGTGAGACTGATTGGTATATGGTACTTACTCACCACTCAGGCTTGATACCTGGTTGATGGGGTTCTAGGAGTTCTTCTACCTCTCCAAGCTCGGCCCGAGGCCAGGCTTGACTTGTGAGAGTTTGGTCCACCAGGCTGTTGCTTGCAGCGGCCCGCAGGCCCACATACCCACCACAGCCCGGTTGGTCCAGTACTCCTTGCAAGGAAACAATCTAGTTCCTCTTGAAGATGTCCACGGTTACAACACAGTCTTGAAACTCTGAAATGTTATCTTGTGTTCAGTTGTACAGAATGGTTATTCCACTTTTGGGATAACTCGAACCGGTGCCTCGATAGCGACTTTGAGTTCGAATTCTGGTCAGAGAGGAACTCTTCGCGTTTGTTCACCTAGCATAAATAATTATGGCCAAATGCTTAGATATGTGACATTAAAAGGCGTTACTGGCAGATGACCATACTATGAACACACAAAATAGAACAAAGTAACAAAATACCATTAGGCTGCAGATACTCTTGCGCACATCAACACGAGATAACAAAAAATTACAACTCAAAAAGCGAAATAAAAAGAGCAAAGTTGGTAATTATCGCGCAGTGTGTCAACGGATGATTCCCTGCCGGTGACTGTCATTGTCCACAATAGGCGATTGAGTGCTAACAAGAGGGGACAGAATCCCTTTGTGGGTCGCATTGAGGGCGCTCAGACCCCACGCTCCAGCACCCAGGCCGACTCCCTTCCTCATGGACAACACCTATTATCGGCTAAGACGCTCCACTTGGAAGCCTCTGAGGCCATCCAGTTGAAACATAGTTTATCTCTGGAATGTTTTGTTTGCGAGGGTAAATACCGAAAAGGTTTTTGACTTAGTGGTTATGTGTGAACTTTGGTGATGTTTGTCTTGTGATGGAATGGAACAAAATGAATGTTTTGTAAAGCTTAATATTGTGTCGCTGTGTTAACACATCAGTGTCTAGTTCACATTATATACAACTATATTAACAATTATCAGAATAATATGATCATTTTTAATCCGAAGGCATCGCGTTAGATCCCTCGCTACTACAGCATGTGTTTTTGAACGACTAAACATGAAAAAGAAATATTTTTACGTGCCCTCCCCCCTAGAGGGCAGCCCTTCGCCAGCTTCCTTACTCATGCCATTTGTTGCCGGCGTGAAAAGGATAACTGACAAGCGCTCATCCTCTGGCATTACAGACATAAGCAGCAGCCATTTTAGGCAACCGGTAAAGATCTTGGGCGTGGAGGGCATAGAGGCAGGTTTAGCGTGACGATTGTTCCGACTCGTACCCCTCGATTCCATATATCAAAGACCAATTGATGTTAAACTGATGGGCACTTGATTACTCACGCAACAAGGGGACCAGTTCCTGAGATTTGGTTGGCTGGAAACCGCCTCTAGTAACACCGGCAACAAGGACCAAACTCTCCAGGCATCCTTCAAGACCAATACATCTTTTCAAGCAGGTAGGAGGTGCGAGAGATTATAATGTGTTGGTTTTTCAGGTCCGCTGGCTAACAGAATAGGTGTTGGGTGTCATGTGGGGCGCCACAGAGCACCGCCAGCCGCCGACAGCAGGCAACTGCCCCACATTTTCTGTATGGTTCATATGCTACTGTCACCAGTAGATAGGCTGCGTCCTAGACTTCAGGGCGTTGCGTTATTTGGACTGTGATGAGGCGTTGCGTTATTTGGACTCTAACTCCTGAGGGGAGGGGGGGGAGGCACTGCGTTATTTGGACTCGTCATGGGGCGCTGCGTCATTTGAACCCTAGTCATAAGGCGCTGTATTATTTAGACTCCAGTGATGGGGTACCGGAGTCCAACTAATACAGTACCCCCCCCCCCCCCCCCGTGGTGCTCGAGTGCAAACAATGGCCATCTTACCTCGACTAAGATATCACGCGTCTGACGCTGTTTACGTGACCTAATGATAAGGATAAGGCACACAGACTTTTAATATAATAATGTAAAATGAACACTCGCAAATCTCACAATAAATATCAAGAAACTAAACATTTACACTGTAAATGTACACTGTATGTACATTTTAATTAATTTTGTTTATGTTTAGAAGAAAATCCCTTTTGGCGTGCTAGGTTACAAACTGAGAACTCTCATATTTCAATCAATACAGCACTAGGATATTACATTCGCAAATAAATCAATCCTCAGAGCACATGCAATAATTGTTCTCCAAAGCGCTTCTGCTCGAAACACTATGCGTGTTAGTGGCTTTGCAAGAATGTAAGAACACCAATGTTATGTACTTTTAACAAACCCAATGTACCTTCTAGTATATAAATAAATAAATTAATTAATGAAGAAAACTGAGCAAATTGCCTAAATTTGTACATTATACAGTCATCTAGGATGGACCGAAACGTTATGTTCTTTATTTCCAGAGGTGTGGGATAGGCGTCTAATTTTCAGCCCATTACTGTCCTTTTAAAAATAACGTCGCTTTTGGCCGTTTGCCCGTATGGCTGAAAGTGGACGTAATTTGAAAATGAAAATAAATTTGAGATTTTTTTTTCAACAACAGTTAGTTAAGGGTCCTCTGGTAGGTTAGGTGGGCAGGAAATTCTCATAAAGTTTTAAAACGTTAATTGAAAGTTTCCTCTCCTAACCTTTCCGAGTAAGCCGGACGACTCAAACAGAAAACGGGACAGTACGTCACTTTCGTGAGCCGATTTCATTTCAAATTACGTCCACTTTTGGCCATAGCGCGCATACCAGCCAAAAGCGACGTTGTTTGTAAGAGGACGAGTTCCAGTAATAGCGGCTTCGTGCCTAGATTTATATTAATTTAAAAGAACAATATAAACTGCACAAGGTCTATTAGGTCATGGCAACGCCTATTTATATCAACCTAATCTCATTCATATATATTTCTACCGTACTCTTGAAGGATCCATCGATCCCGCATATATTATGTTGGCCGGTAATTTGTTCCAAAAAACAGTCACCTACACATAATAGTACAGTATATATAGTTACTGTGAATGAAAGTACAAAGTATATACGTTGTAGGTATCTTCGTGGTGCAGAACAGCCCGTCCTCTCGAGCGTTCACAACGACACTAAACTGATGTTCTACATTGCCTGAACTTAACCTAACAGACGACCCACGAATAGAAAACGGGACATCACGTCGTCAATTTTGCGAGCCGCTGTGATGATTTAGTACACCAGTTTTTGGCCTTAGGGGGAGTTATACGTCAAAATGCTATATACCATTCGAGAGAACTGGTTGCACAGGAGTGTACGATATCCAGTACCTTTACCGGTCACTGTAGTGGCATCGCACTCCCTCAGTCCTCCTCCTCCACTCCCTCAGTTCTCCTCCACTCCCTCAGTCCTCCTCCACTCCCTCAGTCCTCCTCCTCCACTCCCTCAGTTCTCCTCCACTCCCTCAGTCCTCCTCCACTCCCTCAGTCCTCCTCCTCCACTCCCTCAGTTCTCCTCCACTCCCTCAGTCCTCCTCCTCCACTCCCTCAGTTCTCCTCCACTCCCTCAGTCCTCCTCCACTCCCTCAGTCCTCTTCTCCTCTCCTCCCTCCACCCCCTCGTCGGGAAAGTATGGAACAGGACAATAATACTCATACTCTTGCTTTACTCATATTATATAATATAATAACATTTAAGTATTTTACAATGGATTCATGAGTAAACACACACACACACACACACACACACACACACACACACACACACACACACACACACACACACACACACACAGAGTCTTGCTTGACGTAGACCGTTAAATTTAAAATCTGGCGGGTCAAGTGTCCCACAGTTTGTGTTCCATAGGTTGTTGTGCTGTGAAGTTAGCTTTAAGTTAGATGACTTAACACTTGGGTTTAAACATCGCTGGTGTACAAGGACACTAACCTGACCGGACCTTTACCCAGGGGGAAGAACACGCTCGAGTACTGTTCAGTAAACGGTACTGTGTCCACTCGCTAACCGCTTACACAGTTGGTTACATATCTCCAGGGGATACATACAGTTTTTGCGTGATACATTTAATTTTCGTGAAGTTAATTCCATAATGCATCGTTAGGGCGATGTGAGGACACGTGGAACCACAGTGTGATCCTTGCACACAGTGATTAAGAATGTATATACACCCCCAGGACAAATAACGTTGATGCAACCGTAAAACAACGTTAATATAACGAAACAAACGCTGTTGCAACCATGAATCAACATTCATGCAACTATGAAGCAACGTTGATTCACGAAAAGCTCCGAGGTTCACTAAACGTCACTCGAATCCATGTTCCGCCCACTGGCTAACCCAGCCCCTGTTATGACTGCTATAAAAATATGATGACATTATATACGAGTGTTATAGAAAAATATATATGTAGGCGCGTCAGGTCTATGGACAGACCTGTGGCACAGGTAGCGAGGCCTCCCGAAGGTCACCAGAAAGGTCTCGGAAGGGTGAAGACCGAACAACTGCTACATCTATGTCGTCTACATCAACCTAATCAAGATCTTAGAAGAACAGTCAAGGCACCAGAAGAACAAACAGCTCAGAAAAACAATCAAGGCCTCATAAGGGCAATCGAGTCTTCATTAATGATAAAGACCATGAACAATTGAAATCTCGATAACAATTAAGATTCCTGTACAACAATTAAGAGCTACAAATCAAATCTTCTGAAGAACAATCAAGACTCCCATACAACAACCAAGAGTTCAAAATAACAATCAAGACCTCAGAGGAATAATCAAGAAATCTGTCAACAATCTTGAAAAGTCAGCCAGTGCCTAATTCCGGTTCGTTGACCACCTTTTATTTCGTAAACAAACAGCTAGACTAATAAAAAAAAAGTGCAAAGCGCTTGCATGTTAAAATATTTAGTAGTAAAAGATAATTAAATAAATTACACTACATCAGGAATCAGATATACTGATGATAAAGTTAACGTTAGTTCGCTGCATCATGAAAGCGCAAAGCCAAATTTGGCACATATCTTCTTAATAAATTATTATGTGAAATAATTCATAGCGTCATGCGCAAAAATGATTTTCATTAGCGACTCTGCGCACACGTTAACGACGGGGCGGGGAGAGGTTGAAATAGCCTAAGCTACTTTATCCCTTTGAGATGTACTTTCTTTTCTCAATAAACGTACTTGAACTTGACGCGGGCGACGTCACCCACCGTGAAAAGTGGCAGGTTAGAGGGGGATGTGTGTGGGGATACATGATACAGTTGTCAGTCCAGGACGGACCGAAACCATCCAGTCCAGGATGGTCCAGGACGGACCGAAACGTCGTCGTCCCTTCACATTCTAGTGTGTGGTCTGGTCATCATACTTTAGCCACGTTATTGTGACTCATCGCCTGCATACAGTTGTCATTCTCCTCAGCAGTATAGCATGTTACCTCATAAAAACATGTATGAGTTTCAGTCTACAATTTAGGCCTGTTGTCTAGTGTATGGTCCTATGGCCTGTGTGACAGCGAAGATGAGCAGCACCTCACTGTAACACGGCCTAGTTGAATTACTCAGATGAGGCAAAATGTTATGTTTTTGTCAATAAAGATGTTAATAGTAATGTGTCGTTATCACCACCATCATCATCCTAGTTGTCACTATCGTCGTCACAGTCACCATCTTCAATATGTCGCTCTCGACATCAACAATCACCATCCTTCATTGTCGCTTGCAGTATAGCGTCAATATTTCAGCATTGATAATTATTTGCTTCTCAAGTTCCATACACAGACTTTATATACATTTTACCTAAAGATATATTTAACTGCGAGTTCACGTTTTTGGCAACAATGTTGTTTATGCAAAATGCATTCTATACAGTCATCCTACATCTAATACAGTCATTCCCTCTGACTACTGTATTGTTGAATAAAAAATGCAATAACTTCTTCAGGTAACAACGATTTAGATGAATAAAAATTTACTGATAAATTCCAGTTAATACCGCCATGAAGGAATATAATGTTGAACATTGGTAATACTGCTGCTAGTTAAGAAGGCAAACTACAGTATTCTCGTTCGGTAATACTTCTTCCCACTTCAGTCAAAATACGATATTCTCTTCTAGAAATATACCTGCGAAGGTAAACCAAAATACGATGGGTTTACCCTGGCATTACTGCTACTGAGGCAAAGTATCACAATCTTTTGGTAATACTGCTAGGAAGTTCAAATGTATGAATCGTTTTGTCGTGTCAAAATGCAAAGATCACTTCTGGCAATACTGTCGTTGATTCTAAATACATTACTCACTTTTGGTAACACTGTTGCTAGTTGTTATATAATATAAGACAAACTACTTGGAACATCGTTGTATGATTCAATTCATTAATCATTTCTGATAAGACTGCTGTTGATCCAGTATCAATTCTGGCAATACTGCTGTTGATACATTATCAATTCTGGTAATACTGCTATTAATCCAGTATCAATTTTGGCAATACTTCTGTTGATTCCAGTATCAATTCTGGCTATAGTTCCGCTAGTTAAGACCCATACTGTACAATGTAAGAGGGTGAGAAATAGCCTATGCTACTCTATCATTTTTTTTGAGATGTATCTTATTATCTCAATATACGTACTTGAATACTATACAATACTGACTTCTGGCTGTACTGAATGCGTTTTTTTAATACATTTCTTCTGTCAATACTATAGTCACGTTCAGGAAGCCTATAGTAGAGTATTCAGAAAGTCAATATTATATATATTTTTGTCGTGTGTCCTATATTAGTCACTGCCAACGGTATTTTATGTTTTTCTGTTATTTCTCGTTTATCCGTTGTCTGCCGTTTATACTAGCCCGTTAGGCTGCTAAGCGCCACTCAGAAGAGGACGCTGTTGCTCTCCGTTGTTCCTGTTGTTCGTAATTTAGGCAATCAGTTACCCGTTACGTGACGTTGTCACTTCTGTTGCTTGTTGCCACTCTCCTGTTACTTGGGAGTTACGTCCGGTAACTTAACGACACATATTCCTGTAGTATACTCTGTACGCTGCCGCTTTCTATGGTATATATGTGTTACAGACCCCGTCACCACACCCTCCCTACCGTCACATCTCGTCACAGGTCCGTTATTGATCCGTCACCTAGACAGGCGGTCACCTGTTACTGTCACTTTACCAGTTGTCATCGCGCGTCAACCCGGTGTCACCCTCTCGTCAGCTTTTGTCACCGCTCGTCAGCTGGTGTCACCTCTCGTCGGCTGGTGTCATCCCTCGTCAGCTGGTGATTCAAACGGAAGAGCGCTTAGTCTTGAGGTAGTTGGCTACCATGAAGGAGTCGTGAAGGAGAGGCGGGAACTGGTCGCCTTGGTGGGGGCCGCCCTTGTACCCCGACCCTTGCTCCAGCAACAGGTTGGAGATCCTTGACGGTGACCTGTCGTGGAACCACAAGATTAGTCTCCGCGATATATATATAATAATTATTAATAATTCATTATCTCGGGGGACAGGAAGCCATGTTATACATACAGTACATGTTAGGATTAAATCGAGGTCCCCCCCGCCCCATAACCATGGTCGTCTCTCTGTTTGTCTGCGACGCACCTGACAACGGAGTAGCGGTGGGAGGTGTGGATGGGGCTGTGGTGTGGCTTGGGGTAGCAGGTGCAGGAGCAGACGGTGGCGACGCTGGTGAAGGACCCGACGCGTCCCTCCCGGCCCTCAGAGTCGTGTGTCCCCGCCAGGAGCTTCCCGTTGATGGCCATCAGCTCTCCGTCAAGAGTCACCACCGACTGTGAGGCGTCCTGCATCTCGTAGTCCCCGGCCTTCACATCCTCCGTGTTCCTGACGGAGACGGTCAGGAGGTGGGTGACTGGTGATAGGGTGATGGTGGGTGATAGTCAATAGGGGTGGATGATGTACGAAGTGGTATACTGAATTTCGCACTTGGAAGGAGCTCTGATAGGACGGAGGGTGATGGTGGTTGGTTGGGAGTTGTTTGTGGTAGGGATTCATGATGGTTTTTAGCAGATGATGGTGGTTGGTCGGTTGATGATTACCTATGAGTACTCACCTATCAGTGCATCTCACTTGTTGGCCACCTGTAGTAGTAGGCATCCAGTAGTCATAGGAGACTATGGAGTTGCGGTCTGGAGTAGTCCTTAACTGAACCAATTGGGCCCACTCTTCTTGTGGCCACTGTTTCATATTTGCCACTTTCTCAAAGTGCTCAAAGAAGCCCTCCACCTTGCTCGAGTACTACCTACTCTGACTCATCTCCATTACCAATCTTCAATATCCTATTATTCTTTTCTTTCCTCGGTATTTTAAACGTTGTGATTACATTTCCTCTGTTTTTTCTCTTCTTAAGATTAGTTAACTCGGGTTCCTTCATCATATCCTGGTAGCTTAGTTCATTTCCCTTTTCGTCGTATTCGAGGTGCGGCTTCCACGTCAGTACTGCGTATTCTAGTACCCGTCTGATAGTATCTTACCTTACCTTGCGGTGGTTCAGAGGTAAGGTACTGTCAGACAGGTACCAGAATACGCAGTACCGACGGGACGCCGCACCTCGAATACGACGAAAAGGACTAAGCTACCTTTACACAGTAGGCTGTGTAAACTGTCTTGAAGGAGTCCATGTTTACGTTGTCAAAGGCAATTATAATATTAACCAGCTTGTCATATGCTGCCCATGATCTCTTGTGTGGGGTCTACTTCTGGTGTTAGTGTTCCAACCATATCAACTACCAGATCTTTTTTTCTTTCAGATTTATGTAGTTACCTTTTCCTTATGGTGTAGATTCCTTCCGGTCCCCTCTCCCATTTTCCACCTTCATTACCTTACACTTGTTGTGGGTGAACTTTAGCAGCCATTCATCTACCCTCTGCGGGAGGTTTACAGTGTCTTCTTGGACACTCTTAAAGTCCTCCTCAGCTTTTACTCTGCGTTAGAAATAAATATCCTTCAGATGGGAACAAAAGACAACTCCGATTAGGCTTTCCCTGGAACACGACCCACCAATGGGTTTACATCCACGTCCCTAACTGCTGCTGGGAGAACAGATCTTAGTGTTGTATTTAAACAATAACATGTACAAATGAGTCCCCAGTGGTAGGTCATGCCCTTAGATTTTGAGCAGAAGCAGGGCTTGCCTCTTGTGGAGGTCGGTGAAAATTGACTGGAGAAATGGAGCTTAAAATATTCTTCACCTGGCAATTCACTGATATATAAACGGGACAAAAGGGGATTTGGTTAAAACAAGATTAAAACCAGTGCACTAAAACAGAAGCGATAAATAAGCAGGGAAAAAGGAGAAGTCCTCTCCTCCATTTTAAACTTAGACCCAAATATCACAGGAAAAAGGTTATCATGTATAACCAAACTCAATTACGGGCTCACCATAGCCCGTGCTACATGGACACTTCGTGCTGAGTAGCTAAATCTTTAACAACAACAACAACAACAACAGGGATTTGGTTAAGAAATAAGACTCACATGGTTAAGAAGTGGGACTCACATGGTCATGAAGCGGAGGACGAGCAGGTTGATGGAGGCGGCGACGACGGTGAGGCCGAAGAGGATGAAGACGAGTGAGAGAGCCACGTAGCCAGGCTTGGTGGTGAGGGCGTTATCCTTCTGCAGGAAGAGTGTGGTAGAGAGTGAGGCGCCTCTTTAGAGTTACATGAGCCACCTACAATGTCACGCTGTTCTTAAGTCACACGAAGCAACATTCCTAATCTTACCTGTATTTAACCCAAGAAAGACATCTTCATAACGGTGCAGGAGCCTGTTGTCGGACAGTCATCCATGTTTCTTTAAAACAACTTTGAAAACGATTCGTAGAAGTATCCGAGATACTTCAGAGATAATTCCACCAATCACATCTCAAAAATAAAATCCAAGTGAACAACTAAAACTGCGTTTCGGGCGAGTGTGAATACCTACTGCATCCGCAGACGACAACGGATGGAGTAGGTCTCTATGACTGCAAGAGGAATCTGTTTATCCCATATAGAAGGTTGTGTAGCTTTATATTCCAGAAGAGTCAGACTTCGAGGCAGCTAGTAGAACCCGACGTGACCCCGCCTCACTTACATCCAACTACGATCTCCAGACAAAAGTGAAAGTTGAGGAAGTGATTAATTCGTCAGCTGCTGAATCCAGGAGTGGCGATTACACAAAGCACCATGTGACACTACTGGCCGATACGTCGCAGTGTGGTCTGTGACAGTCTAAGTCATATGAAGAACGCACCACAACAACAACAGGGTGGACAAAGACAAACTCTTCAGCACGGGTGGGACACGAACAAGGGGACACAGGTGGAAACTTAGTACCCAGATGAGCCACAGAGACGTTAGAAAGAATTTTTTCAGTGTCAGAGTAGTTAATAAATGGAATGCACTAGGAAGGGATGTGGTGGAGGCTGACTCCATACACAGTTTCAAATGTAGATATGATGGAGCCCAGTATGCTCAGGAATCTGTACACCAGTTGATTGACAGTTGAGAGGCGGGACCAAAGAGCCAAAGCTCAACCCCCGCAAGCACAATTAGGTGAGTACAATTAGGTGAGTAGAGAAGGTTTCAAAGTTCGATGTCCAGAGGGCGAACGGGACGAGCAAGAAGAACAGCCATTTCGCCAAGACGCGAGAGAGACAGATTTCAGCGGGTAAACCTTGCTGAAGTAACGTTTGATAAACTTTAAGTCAACATTATCAACGTTGATTCATTGTTGCATCAGCGCCGTTTACTCAGCTCAGTCAGTGAGCTCGGAGAGCACTCTATGCCAACCTGTGGTCACGAAAAATTATTGTGGCCTTTATTTCCTCAGTGATTTATTAACATCTAAAAATCGATATTTATAGACAGTAAGTTATAATAATAATAATAATAATAATAATAATAATAATAATAATAACAGATCAAACTGGTAATAATAATAACAATGTAACATTAATATTGATGATAATATACAATGGTTGGTAGTGAGAGCGTTCTCATTCTGCAAGGAGAGAAGAGTGAAGTTTTGTATCCATAAACACTAGCCAAGGATTACGATCCGTCCAATGATGAGTGTCTACAAAAAGCCGGCACTGGTTCCTATGTCTGAATGGAGGTGGCAAAAATACGAGCTCTGATAGACATCAACAGACGCTGGCAGCAAACAGTACATATATACACCTATGTGAGCGAGCTGTTCACAGCTTTATACTCTACTACTATTTTCCAAGTAACCATCAGGAGTGAAAGGTGACGGAGATCGCAATCCATGACTAATGAAAATGATTTATGGCTCTTAAGAAGTTATACATTTGCGCTGTTATCGGGAGTACCTGGAGGGCTACGAAGTCGCCGAAGCCGATAGTGGTGAGGGTAATGAAGCAGTAGTAGAAGGCGTCGATGTAGTTCCAGTTCTCGTAGTGGGAGAAGACGGCGGCGCCGGCGGTCATAACGATAGAGGAGAGGGTACCCGTTACACACAGCTGGTTCACGTCCGTCGCCTCCGTCGTCGCGCACCCCAGCATCTTCTTCATCTGCGGCAGGTTGGTCCTCGTCAGTAAGTTAAGATGTGCGAGGCTTACTACTCTTACGCATACAACATCACTTTCCTTGTGCACCCCCGACTCTCACCTTCATTGTACACCCCCACACTCGTCTTTCTCGTTCGCCTCCCCAACACTCACCTTCTTGATAATGATGGAGGTGAACTTGTTGAGTCGTTCACCAATGGACTGGAACATGACCATCCCCAGGGGGATGCCGACCACAGCGTACACGATACAGAAAGCCTTCCCTCCTACAGTCTCAGGAGTGGAGTGACCGTAGCCTAGCAACAAGTACACAGGAAGGTGGGATCTGTAGTTATACATGCATACATAGCATACAATGTTATATAAATATAAATTTATACAGTAAAAACATTTATTCGACAATCGTATAAATACTACATAATATATAAATGAAAGAAGATATAGAATGTGAAGCCTACAAATACGTGATCCAATCCCACTGCCAACGGTGCTAGAGTGCTTAACCCGGCGATTGTGTCTTTTATGACTATTTTCATAAATAAATGAACAACTGAATTCGAAATATACAAATTAGCTACAAATACAATTACATAGTGCCGGAGTACAGACTTTACCCACCACTATAAAATATACGAAAGTTTGGTAGGCTTATACTGTCATCCGGGACAGTAGCCCAGTAAGGCTTATCGAGGTCTCCCTAGGCAAGGGCGTGGAGGCTGTCCGCTCGGTCACCCATCCAGACACTGGCCCAGTAAATTAATGAATAAGATATAAACAAGTACACGCAGATCAAATTGTCGGTGGTACTATTATACTCGACCCAATTAACACACGCACCAATAATTTAATAACATATTAACAATTAAATATAAGTAAATAATTTGGTAACAAAATGTTTTCCTATATAATTTAGTTAATGTCGACTAATGTCCAACTAAAAACTATATATTATTTTAATACACAATATTCCAGTATATCATGGTTGATATGCACTTTGAGGGTGTCTGAGCCTAGTTTCTGTCTCTCTCTCTCTCTCTCTCTCTCTCTCTCTCTCTCTCTCTCTCTCTCTCTCTCTCTCTCTCTCTCTCTCTCTCTCTCTCTCTCTCTCTCTCTCTCTCTCTCTCTCTCTCTCTCTCTCTCTCTCTCTCTCTCTCTCTCTCTCTCTCACTCACACACACACACACACACACACACACACACACACACACACACACACACACACACACACACACACACACACACACACACACACACACACACACACACACACACACACACACACACACACACACACACACACACACACACACACTACTCACCAATCATGGCGACGACCACTGTCACGAAGTACAAGGCTCCCGCGAACTTCCACTGGGGTCCAGCCTTGTGTGGCTGGTTCTCAATGATTACCGTCTCTATCAGCTTGTACTCGGACCCGCTTATGTTGTATTTGCCTTGTAACTGCTTCCGGACGCCTGGTTAGAAGGTAATTGTTTGTGTTACTCGCACGCCATACGCCTGGCAAGGCTATGTTTCTTTCAGTGTTATCTTATGACCCCAATATGAAGAGGAATGGCAAAGCTGTTTGAATGTTGTAAATCTGGAAGCAGAAGGGTTCGGCCGCCAAGGGGTTTGTTTACGTCTTCGAAGTGTGTAAGTGTTTGTCTTTTGGTAGTGTATTGTGCTGACGTACACTAGTGCTGCTTGATAGGCAGACAACTGCCTGTTAGAAAGTAGCCTCACCAAATGTTTAATAATGAAGATAAAACAGGGTAAATGAAGGCGAAGGGGAATCTACATTTTCAAAACAAAAGAATGTTAGTATATTGTTGTATGTCTGAGGGAGGTAAAGTGTCTACTAAAGATTTTAGTTACGAAATAAGATTAGCAGGTCAGCCTGTTCTCTTGAATAATACATCGCATTTTGACGTTAAAATCTCCAACGGACAAATATGATGTTCTATATAGATTCTGTCACTACACTACGTCGAGGGCTGGCAAACCCCTTCGACGATTTTCATATATATATATATATATATATATATATATATATATATATATATATATATATATATATATATATATATATATATATATATATTAGTATATTATGCTTCACTGTTGGAGGTAAATCAAAAATCATTTTGATTTACCTCCAACAGTGAAGCATAATGTACGAAAGATTGAGAAAATTCGTGTTAGAATTATTAATCTTACTTTTTCGGTCATATTTAATATATATATATATATATATATATATATATATATATATATATATATATATGTAATGTAATTAATTGTGTAATTAAATTGTGTGTGTGTAATTAATTAATGTGTTTTCATATTGATGTATGTTTCAATATCAACATTTAAGTATCATACCCTTAAAACTGTATAATTTTATGTATAAATATAAATATTATGTACAATATATGAACATATGAAGTATACCATTAATATTAACACGAGTCAGTAATCATTTAGTGTTTTCTGCTTAAATGCAAACAAATTAAAACTAAAACATGCAGGAGCGTCACGTGGCTCAAACAAATCTTGCATCACTGGCCAATATCATTATTAAAATAAATATGCAGACGACTCGACATAACAAGGTTTAGAACATTTGAAATCACTACAACTAAATTGCATTTTTGCCTTAACTGCTCAGGAAAACCACATATATAACTTCAAATCAAGAACTTTTCATAGAACAAACTTTCACTGAGAATATATCATGCAATTCCACCGTCATTGACATATATCGATCACTGTGGCGCCGACATAAAGCCATTCTTATATCTTGCACATAATCTTCCTCTATCAGTGATAACTATAAGCCAAACAAGCAAATATATTTCTAGGCAAACTCTTAAGAACTTGGCACATAAAGGCTAACTTTCAATAATCCGTAGTCTCTCGGCTTCGGTGTCGGACTCGAGGGCATCGAACACGGCGGCACCGATCAGGAGGTAGGTGAAGGTGCACACCACCAGCGACAGAGTCCGAACATTCTGCTGCCGCATTCTGGCCTCGGCCTCCACCTCGATCTTCAGCGTGGAAACTTCGGGTCAAAATCTTGCAACAGGGACCGGTGTTGTGCTGCCTCTTTCTCTCACTGCTGACCATCCAGCAAGATGATGAACGCTGGGGACAAGTTTCTAAATCCGAAATTTATTATTTCACGAAATTTGTTGTCGCTTGTGTCACTTGATATATTATACTCGCAGCGATAACTTGAAGCCAAATTCTCACTACGAACAAATCTTCAATACTGCAGTACCGACGGGACGCGAGCTGATGGCAGAACAATTGGACTTTCCTTTCAAAACTGCTGGGCGTTACATGGATACTTCAGAATCTGGCGTTGGAAGATGGAGGCGAAGGACCCTCGGCCACGTCTCAACAGCAACTGTGGACTGAGGGCAAGCTCGGTGATGCACTCAGATGTGTGGCTGCAGCAGTTGAGTGTCCTCGGGTGTCTGCTCCAGCTGAGTGTGTTTACATGTTGATACTGGCACATGCGCGGAGCCTCGACCCCGCACGATCAATACTCGCCTCAACATATTACCATCCCCCTCCCAGCACTGCTGAATGGGGTGAGAATAGCTTGAGCTACCTCAGTATTTTACCTCAACTTATTTCAATATAACAACAACAACAATATTTTCTTTCGGTCAAGATATTAATTTATTTACTATTTGATCTCTTTAGATTTAAAATACATTTACATAAACCAAAATATTTGAACAAATATTCTCCATTGGTAATAGGTTAAAAATATAATAAAGAATAACAAATAAAAATTATGTGGCTAGTTTCACACGATTGTTACTTGTGAAACATTAATTGTTATTGCTTAGACTGATTGATTGATAAAGATTAAGCCACCCAAGAGGTGGCACGGGCATGAATAGCCCGTAAGTGGTGGCCCTTTTGAGCCATTACCAGTATCATTAGCTGATACTGGAGATCTGTGGAGGTGCGACTGCACCCTGCGTGACGGGAGATGTCTCCCGTGACTTACTTAGATTGATTGATTGATGAAGATTAAGCCACCCAAAAGGTGGCATGGGCATGAATAGCCCGTAAGTGGTGGCCCTTTTAAGCCATTACCAGTATCAAGAGCTGATACTGGAGATCTGTGGAGGTGCGAATGCACCCTGCGTGACGGGAGATGTCTCCCGTTAAAACTTACTTAGCAAAATGAACCCTTTATATACTTCTGTAACCATTTCCACCACCGCCCACGGGTTGGGATGGAGTGCAGAATAAATAACTAAACTAAACTAATTATTGGTTCTACTATCAACATTCCTCCAGCTTACAGAGGCTGTCAGCAAGACGAGTATAATCTTGCACAAGAGCTGGGAATATAAAACCCATCCTCCTATAATTACGAGGATGGGTTTTATATTTCTTTCGACAAGCCGCAGGAAGTATTTAAGATATTCTATCGTTTACAAGAAAATGATTTGCTATTTCATGCAACGCAAGTTTAGTTTTATCTCTAGATAGCTACACTTTTATACAGTGTAAAATATAATGATGTAAAGTGTCTTTGTCCACACACTTTACACTTCACTTCATTTAGATCCCCATACAAACCGAACTGCCAGAGATACTTGTTGCTAAGTCGTATTCTAGCTGTAAGATCTTCTGTCAGTTTACTGACTTTGTTACTGCATATAAATGTTTTGTCACATTTCATCATAATAAACGTTGGATCTGCGTTTAGATATCATCATCTATGATGATATTTAGATATCATCATTAGATATCCTGCAGCAGATGATAAGATATCTGATATCATGGTTGTCGTATTGAGTGCATGTTCTACCGCATTATTCCTCGAAATGATCCTCATATTGTGCTTCAGTGAATCAATGTATAACCCTGAAATGTTATTCTAATGTACCTAGTAATCCTTGTTCATTATTGTGTATTGTTATTATTGTGTATTATTCTAATCTGCTTTGGTGACAAAATTTCTTGCAATGTACCTGTAAACATTTTTTGTCAATTTTACTGTAATTATTCTACTTAAAATTATCTGTACCTGTAAAGTAAAGCTGTAAAGTACCTGTAAACATTTTTTGTCAATTTTACTGTGAATTATCTAAAAATTATCTGTTAGTTTAAGGGCTTGTGGTTTTACAAGAATGTAAAATCAACGTAATTTCTATGTTCTCTGTTAACCCCCAATGTACCTTCTTGTATATAAATAAATAAGGTAGTATACCGTTTTTCTTTAAACAGTTCATTTTCTGTTGTTATTTTATAAAATAACGTCACACTGGTGAAGAAGCGACGTACTGACTGTAAACAAATTTCGTTTGGCTTAGACGCGCCGTTACACGTGCAGTCATAGAGACGATAAACCCCTCATGAAAACGGCAAGTACTATCAAGATCACTTTAGAAATCCATTATGGTAATTGCACGTTTCACAAAGAATTTACCAGAAGGCCACCATCTCTAGTGACTGACGGGGACAGGAAGCCGGCGGCTTTCAAATGTATCTTTTTTTTTTTCTCTCTCTCCCTCACCCCATTGTTTATGAGGATATTTTTTTCCCCAAAAAAGGGGTTACGTCAACTGTAAAAAACAATATTGCTTTACAGTCATCATAAAGGTGCACCCATGACTCACATCACTTGTTATTCACAGGCTGCTGATTGAACTTGATGCTGAGTGGAGTTTTGATTCGTGCTCCACCACAAGTTTGCCATAAAACGTGCTGCATTTTTTGCCTATTGGGGCTCAATACTACAGCAAGGTATGAAAATAAGAATAAATGAAACTGTAGAATGCCTATTGGTCCATGTGAGGCAGCTCTTGTTTATACTCTACTAAACTCATTCATGTATAGTACTGTAAATGTCTTACCTTCACTTATGCTGCATTTTTTCTTATACAGCCTTCTTTCCTAAACAGCTCGGAATAATACTGTCCTTGCATAGTAAAGAAGAATACCATATATTTTATCCTTCCTTTTCATGCCAAAATAATTTATGGAGCTACTCTATGCTTTTATTTTAGCATTGATGAATGATTTTGATTACTTTAATCAGCAAGAATTATATTTACAGGTTTGAAGATGTCTCATGGAAGTGGATTTAGTGGTACTGGAAAGCTCAGGCAGTTCATGTGCATTGAATATCCAGGTGTCGTAGAGAATGTTGACAAGATGATAGAAACACTGGGTGGTATTGAAAAAGTCTCAGAGGTAATATAATTTAACATTAAACAAAAATTATAGTATTTTCTTTTCTTTCATATTTCTTCCAGTACAGGTAGTCATACTATAAAAGTAGACCGCAAAAGTTTTTTATTATTGTACTGTGGTTATAGTTTGGGTTTTGCATTTTGCAATTTTATAAAGTTCAGATAGAGAAGTGTTCTCTAATGTACATTATATAAGGCAAAGTCACAAATTAGATCTCCCTGTTGACATCATCCATACCCTCATCTCTTTTTGTTTTCCCCTCTTTCTTCTTTCGTCATAGCCTATATAAAATTGCTGTAGTAGTTTTCAGCCTTGTCATATATTTCTATATTAGTACAAGTATTTGCTTGTTGGCTTGTCTATATGGCAACCAACTATGATAGATTCTTCATTAGAATCTGTTTTGGGTTTTGCATCTAGCTAAAAAAATTGATTTGTTAGCCATAATTTAAAACAATGATTGCATGTGCACTATCCTATTTTGATTGTGAAAACTTAGTACATATTATTAGGACATACAGTAGATTAAATGTATAGAAATAAGTTGGTCTTAATTTTTCTCTTTAGAATGAACATTCAGCCTCTATGTAATGATTCATATCCTAGGTTTATTGTGAGGATAATCGGAGAATGGAATTGCGTTTTCGTCCAAATGATGTTTACTGCAAACCTACGTGTGGTGAGCGACACAACTCTACTGCTTTGCTGCTGCGGGTTGTGCGAAGGAAGAAGAAGAAGAAATATCAGGAACAAGAACCAGAAGGTTAGTATACACTTTGCACTTAAATATTATTTGCTTGTGGGTCATTCATAAGTTTTGCAACAAGAAAAATAATGTACTGTATTTGAAGTGTTCTTTTAGAATTTAGAATATTATATACTAATTTATCGAGTCACAAAATAATCTTACATGTGTCAAATTGCTGTCTTGTTTATCTTGAAGCTCCTCAATTTCTAGTGAGCATAAACCTCTCGTAGGTACTTTTTTGGTCATCATTTGCATATTTCAGTTTTGATTCTAATCTTGCAACTGTCCACACCTTTATTTCATCCTCCTTTCTTCCTCTCTAAATTCCAGATGTTAATTTCATATTTATTGTGTATCTTATCTTGAGGTCTTAAGATGATTTCGGGGCCTAGCATCTGCCGCGGCCCGGTCCTCAACCAGGCCTCCTTTTTTGTTACACACTCCCAGGAAGCAGCCTATAGCAGCTGTCTAACTCCCAGGTACCTATTTACTGCTAGGGCATCAGGGTGGAAGAAACTACTTTGCAAAAATTTCTTGGCTTTACTGCTTTTTGTTTTAATTACACAATGTCCTTCTAAAAATATATTGTGTAATGACTTTACTCTTCATTAATTGGAATATTGCAGTGGATCCCTTGGATGTGTCAGAGGAAGCAGCCACAAAGAACCAGGAGGAGTTAAGCATCAAAACGGATTTGATTGGTGTTGTCCATACTACATATAAATTTAATAGTGAGTTATCTTCTTTGTGTACATATTTTATAGATTAGTACATTATATGCTTTTTTTGTGCAAAATCTAGTTACATTTCCATTCTTAGTTTTTAAATTTAAGTGAAAATCATGACTGGTACAATACATAAGTTTGTAATGGATAGTAACTGAATTCATGGATCATAATTACAGGATTGTGCGCAGGGAATAATTAAGAGTGCATAGTTGTGTTATATTTGATAATACCATAATAACAATGAGGCATAACAATAATAATAATTATATTTAGTCACTGACAAACCATAATACAATTTGGTGCGGCTGAGATGTTGATGCAAAGTTGGTGGCTCAAGGTGTACTATATATTTGGTACAAATTTGTACCAAATTTCCCAATTTTGTCTACACTCTGGTTCCAATACGCTGTGCATACTAGTGGCTTTACAAGAATGTAAACACATCATGCTATGTACTCTCACAAACCCAATGTACCTTCTTGAATATATATATATATATATATATACAATAAATAATAATAATAAAAAATGCGGTCTACTTTCTTATTGTGTACTCTCGTTATGTTTACTATGAACATGTCGCATATTCCCAGCATGTGTCCCTCAAGTGAAACCGGGAGCATGTGCTGTATACCAGGCTAACACATTGTGCTGTTGGTATATATTGTATAAGTCAGCTGATCAAGATAGGCAAGCAATTTTAGTCACTAATTCTAGTGTTATTGTAACGTGTTCATTAATGGTGAACATTTCTTATTTTACAATTAAGGAAACAAAATTAAGTTGGAACATAGGTTTCTGTCATGTCAAGCAGGCATCTAATGTCATTCAGGCTTCATCCTACAATTTCTCCAGAATTTTATCAAATGTTCTTATAAAGGCAAAATATATTAGATATATATGCACAGCCTTTGCTTTTCTTGTGTTACTGGTTGTCTGCAGAATTAGTCAATTGATTCAGTTGCCTGTTCACTTCACTGATTTGCAAAATTTTTAGTTAACTGATTTAAAATTAAAATTTATAACTGACTTTCATTAACTGAAAAGAAAACTACACTCACTACTTGATGTAATGATTAAACCCTATTTTGTATCACTAGTTTAAGGTACATTCAAGTAAGCAAGTTGATAATTATCTTTATCGTTTGAGCAAGAATATAATAGTACAGTACAGTACTCTGATCATTAAACTTTAGGCATGCCATGGTGAAGTGCACAGTAATTCTGTAATGTTTCAGATTGGGGTTACCTTCATTATATATTAGGCTTGTGAATTGTGTATTATTCCCAGTTTCTATGAGATTATTAATCTGACATTTTGCATTTTTAAACAGGTCAGAGGCAGCTTACTACAAAAATGCCATTAAATACAGATTGTTTTAAGAGTTGCAAGCTACTGGAACTGCTGACTGAGTTTTGTATAACGTGTGGTCTTGTTCCAGATCTGTGTGACTTCCAGTATGTTCCTTTAATTAGTATGGAAGATGGAGAGCCACAAATCTGTGTTTACAACCAGCTTGTTCCAAGAGGGATGGAGAAGGCTGACTGGTTAAACCAACCAGCACCATTGTATCTGCCACCAGCTGCTTTCACTCGCATGGACACCCCACAGGTATTATATACAAGCTGGGTGTTTGTGTCTGGAGTTATATCACTTCAAATATTTGTAAACAAAAGTTCCATGACTTTTTCTATCTTTACTGGCAGGTGCCTTCCTTTCCAGTGAAATTAAGAAGTTTTTTTTCCCACTGTTTAGCAAAGTTGCTAATTCAAGCCTCCTGATTTGCAACACTTTCAGCATAATTTTACAGATTGCTAATATTAACCAAGTTTCCCAGCAATCCACAGTCATGTTTTTCATCACTCAGTCGATACATTTCAGTCCTATGCTTGTATCTCGCTTTCCACTTAAAAAACTGCAAAACAGTCACTCCACTTTCACCGCCTCGAGTGCTGGTGCTGCTGTATCTTACACAGTGAAGATACCAACGAATTTCTCATAATATTTTATTGCCTCACAATAGCTTCCTTCTTCCACATTCACCTTCAGAAAATTGTCCCTCTTGCAGTGGAAGTTAAGACACAAGATGTCCTAAGATGTATAGGATATTCCTCTTCGAATCTCAAAATGCAGCACCCAGAATTAAAATTAAACTAATTGATAGTCATATTCTGAAGTTCTTTTACACCTTGTATTGTTTTCAGGATTATCGCTACAGGAGAGAAGCAAACTCTGAAAGTAAATCCAAGATGCCCCAGAACATTATTTGTCGTACCCGCCAGAGGAGAACGCATTTTGCCATCTTTCATTCCTTTAAGGTACAATTTGTTTGGTTTCATGATTACAGTGTTTTGTAAATTTTTATGAAAACTAGAATATGTAATTAATATAAAATTTCAAGTTGTATTAATATATCCTTTGAGGTGCCTCCCCAACCTATGAAGTGGAAAACATGGTTATAAGAGTGCCTGTCTTAATGAGCATCATATAATTATTTATATGGCGTATATTCATCCTCTTTTTGCTAATTCAGTGTTTGTGAAATTTCAGGATGAAGAAGTACCTAAGGATCCCCTGCCTGGAGCTATGTCACAGATTCGTGTAAAATTCATGGATACTGCACTCTACCAGGGCCTTAAAAATGAGTTTGAAAAGCGGCCAATATGGTCAAAAAATGCTCTACGAGTTAGATTAGACTATACCAAAGATAAACTTAAGGTAAATAGTTGTAAATGTAAGAGGAAAAGTTATGTTCAGTATTTGTTAAGACATTAGGTTTAATCATGATGAATGAATGGATGATATATTGGTGAAGGAGGTACATTCAAGTTAATTTGTTGATAGGGAAGGAAAAGTATTGAACAAGGGATTTCACACCGAGATATTCATATCCTTGGTGCTCTATATAGTGTATATGCTTCAAGATTGCTCTGTTGACACAGTGGACTTGTAACATTAGCATACTGAAGCAACCTTGGAACATATATACACTGGAGCAACATTGAAACATATAAGCATTAGGGTAACCAAGGGACATATACTGTAGAGATCACCAGGAGTATGCATATTCCAGGTTTAGAATCCCTGGCCTAGAAGACCAGTAGATGTAATAAATTAATGTGTAAGGAAGCATAGATTGAGTATGAACAATGCACATGAAGCTGTAAGAGAACAAGGCAGAGGGGAAGCGTTTTTTTAAGAGAGAGAGAGAGACTGTTTGGTAATTGTGTTTATAAAAGTTGATAAGGAACACGTGATACCTAGTCTATGAAGTGATGTTGCTGCTGTGGATGATTTGTGTGAGTATGGTGATCTGGTGTGCCTTGCAACTTAATTGGAACACTTGGGAATGTGCTCACTTTCTCCCCCTTTGATGGACATAGTCTTGTCAGTTCTACAGAACCTGGCTTTGTGAGCAGCATATTTCTTTTGGCTCCCTGGTGGTCTCTCCAACCTTGGTTTCATCATGTAATAGCCAGATGTCCTAGCATAGTTCGCCTTCACAGAATATATCCTTGGCTCTATACAAATTATTGTTGATCTCTGATGTAACATTTGCTTCTGAAGTTTCTTGACCAGATCTACCACCACATTTACCAGGTAGATGCCAGAGGTTTGGTCTCGTAGACTCTTACTTGATCTGAAACTTCAGGGTTCTACGTTCTTCACTCGAATGTAGTTGTTCCTCCTGCTGTCCTACATCTTTTTTCGTGCAGACATAGAGTATTGTAATGTACTGTAAGAAAAAAAAAGATCAGAGTTGGAATCATTCTAGTGCTTCTGATCCATTCCTTGTTTCCCTGTGCACAACAAGTTCTTAATGTGAACAAGTATGTGGAATGGCTTGGGACAGGGAAACCAAAGATACATATGGTGCATAGAGTCCTCCTTTGATGGTCAACTGTGACTAAGAAAGGGTTTAGAAGAGCATTGCAGTTTTGTGAATGAATTTCTTTTTGGTCATTAAAGGCTAGACTTAATGTTCTCTGGTGACTCCCTTGCATGTATTATGACCCTGCAGTATTGCATGAAGAGTGGCATGTGATGCCAGTGCAAGAAGGTCATTCCTTCTAGCTGCATGATCCTGTCCCACATTTACAGCAGCTCTGTCCTTATAAACAGCTCAATGATTCAGGTCAGAAAAGTGGCTTCCTATATTAACCGAGTGTCTTAATTGTTCATATAAGATCATTGTTATTAAAGGAAGACTATTAGAACAGAAATAATAAACTTTTCTGTTAGAATTGAAAAAGAAAATAGCTTGAAATTATGGTTTGTTATGCTGTCTGGCATATTACAAGATTCGGTGAAATAAGGAGTAAATCAATCGAGAAAAATTTACTAATCTTGTAGAAATTTGTTGTTAATAAGCAGCATGATGAATGCTTAAAGTTCATTCACTTGTTTTCTAATTCTCTATACAGTATCTACTACCAACTTTGTCCTACTACTTCCACACTGGCCCTTGGAGAAACTTATGGGTCAGGCTTGGTTACGACCCTCGCAAGGACCCCAATGCCTGGATTTACCAGACCTTTGACTACCGCATCAGACAAGCTGGTTAGTAGCACTATTTCAAACTTTATCCTGTAGATTTTTGTTCTTTACAAAAAAAAGTGCTCAACTCTAAATTGATCCCCATAAGTTTCATGTTTTGCCTCATATTTTTCAACCTGAAGAGTCATCTTATGTATTATTTCTGGTTCCTGCAGAATTTTTTGTCACAAGTAATTTTTTGTGTTATTTTTATTTGGAAGAAATATTGATTTATGATACAGTATTCTGAAAAGTAATTAGAAGTCACAGGAGGTAGACTGGTGGTCTGGTCACCTTGGACAACATTGTTATGAGAGAAGTAATAAGGGTGGCTTTCTTCCCCCATGTTTTTATACTGTAAAAGTCATGTTGGATTTCTACCTTTTATCAGCTATCATATTGGCCATTCAATGACAGCTGCCTTCCTATTTATTTCTTCTGTTATTAAACCTTTGGCCTTTGGGGCTTCTTTTGGTCTCATATTTCCATACATTGAAGCCCTGATTATCCAAATCAATTGTTATTAGAGCCTCCTGTTTCATCCAAAGTTCTGTTCTAACCAAAGGTAGAAATAACTAATGTAAAGATCAAATGAAAATGTGGCAGTTACATGAAAGTAAGCAGTTTAAAATATTGTTATTCTAGATACTGTATGAACAATATAGCCTACCTACTTTTCAGGTGGTGTAAAAACAAAGGTAGAAGCAAAGCGTAGTTACTCCAACTATGTCTTGCCTTACAAGAGCTCCAACGCATCACGAAGGAAAGTAAGTTGCTATATGTAAAGGTTCTGTGCCCAGATAAAACATAAAAATAGAGGAAACTGTAAGACCTATTAGTCAATATGTGTTGGCTTCACTTTATGCCAACTAAACTCATTCACATATATACATACTATATGGCTAACCTCGAAACAATCCAGTAGTCCCATGTTTAATGTGTTACTCGGTAAGGCACTACGGGCTCACCATAGCCCGTGTTACTTGGAACTTTTTGTTCCAGGTAGCGAATCTTTAACAACAACAACATGTTACTCGGTAACTTGTTCCATAAATCTACAATTCTATTCACAAACCTGTGCTTCCCACTTGTATATACTTTAGCCATGTCACTTTTATGTAAAGTTTTCTTAATATCTCTTCATAAGGAAGATTTCTAATTCCTGTGATTAACTTTGTCATCATATATAATACACGTTGCATGCAAGAATGACGTAAAAACGACCTCTCACAGTCATACAAATTCACATGATACATAGTATTAGTTGTACAGTATGGCCAGCCTTGGAGCAAATGTGCACCAAGTAGGGAATGGGAGGTCACTGCATATACTGTAACTCAAATTTGATAGTAAATATTTTTATTAGATTTATTTTTAATAGTTTTTCACCACTGTACTTGAGTATAGGAAGAAACTTGCTCATCGAACATTGCAGTTGTTACATTACACAAAAATACACACACTTCTATATAATATACATCTATAGTATACAAATATACTTCTATATAATATATTTAAAAATTTCATAATTTAATCTGATTGTAAAAATTAATATCTCTTGACTATTTTTTGCAGACTTCAGTCATCCAGTCACTGCACCTTGGTGAGGCTGGAGATGATGGCAGTGAAGAGGTAGCTGGTGTAGATAAGAACTTGGAAGAGCTCTATGTCTTTCGACCTGGGATGATTCCGCCATACCGACAAATGTTTTATCAGGTATTGTTAAGATTATCAGTGTGCAGAATATAAATTTAGCCATTAAGTGTTACAATACAACAACAACAATACAATTTTATTTAGGTAAGGTACATACATACAATAAATTTATACAAGGATTGGTTGACTTATAGGTAAAGCTAGTACATACAATGCCTAAAGCCACTATTACGCAAAGCGTTTCGGGCATGATAAACTTAAATGACAAGCTTAATACTAATTGAGCATAATGAGTAGAATGAAAACAAGAAATGAAAACATAGATGAAAAAGCAGCACAAATACAATTATGTCGACAAACAGCGCTCTTTAAAGAAAAAGCAGACATTGGTTGACAATAGAAGGGTAAGGTAGGTTACAGGGAATTTATTAGATATAGCTTCGCTTTTAACTTAAACTGGTTGAGAGAGGTACAGTCTTTAACATGGTTGGGAAGGTCATTCCACATTCTGGGCCCCTTGATTTGTAGAGCATTTCTAGTTTGATTAAGTCGTACTCTAGGAATATCAAAACTGTATTTATTTCTAGTGTGGTGCTCATGGGTTCTGTTACAACCTTCTATGAAGCTTTTGAGATCAGGATTGGCATTATAGTTTAGCGTTTTATATATGTATAATACACATGAGAGAATGTGCAGTGACTTAATGTCTAACATATTCAGAGATTTGAGTAGGGGTACCGAGTGATGTCTGGGGCCAGAATTGGATATTGTTCTAATAGCAGCTTTGTGTTGAGTAATTAGAGGACATAAGTGATTTTGGGTAGTAGAGCCCCAAGCACAAATACCATAGTTGAGATATGGATAGATAAGGGAGTAATAGAGAGTCACCAGGGCAGGGCGTGGTACATAATATCTGATCTTAGACGACGATCGAGAGATCGGTTGCTCCCTGCCATTAAGTGCATGTAGCAAGTGCAATTTTAAATTATTGAATTACTGCTCACTACTATGATAAGTGAATAGTGGCATTATAATGTGTCTGATTATTAATAAGTAACTAGAATACTCATCATAGAGCCATAGACCATCATTTTCCCCATAATCATGTGATCAGGCCCACATATCAAAGTTTGGGAAGCAAAACTGCATTACTGTATTATCAATCGAAACTCATAACTTTCATTTCCAAGTTTAGAAGGCTACAGCATTTCTTAACTTTTCAGTACTGTGATATCCAAGTTCCTGAAATTCAGAAGCTTCTGGAGGAGTCCATACTGAGTGGAGCTAACAAAGTATGTTCAGAGAAATTTGGATGGTTACCTGCAGGTGTTGAAGCCAAATCACGAGACATAATGTCACATCTCATAGAGAAAACTATTGCCGAGAGAAGTAAGTGTTTACCTGTATACTAATATTCTTGTAAATAATGAATTCTTAAGAATTTAAGAATAATAACAAGGCTTGTCATTTTATTAGGTAATAATATCCAGATATGTTAAATCTTAGTAATTATATGGATTTAGAACCAAACCACATTTCCTTAAATTTCTATAGTGAAAAAACGTCATATGACATTTGCTGCTTTTAACTCGGGTGACTTCTTTATAAGTTATATGATGTAGGCTATCATCTATGGGCATTTAAGCTGTCATCTGATATTTAGAAACCTGTTGGAAGGGGGTACATTTAATGGAGACTCTATGCTATTGAAAAATCTTATGTTTGCATCTTTATCTTAATTTCTAAATGTGTCGATTACCTGAACTTGCAAATTATGCCAGAATATTTCATAGCATGTTTCATTACAGCAGCCCAGGGACAGGGGTTAGACGAGGAAGAGCTACGGTCCAACTCTGATACGGATTCCCCTACCGAGGGAAATTCCACTGAGGAGGAGACTGGGGAGTAGACAACTAGATAAGATATACTTATCTAATATAAGTGTATTATTGAATATATATTCATATATTCATAAATAAGATATACAATCATTCTACATAAGATATACTGTATCTACTATGTGTATGATTGAAAAAGATCCTAAGAAAATATTGATATTTTGTATAATTACATCTTTCAATAAATAAAAAGTAAAGGGTGTACTGTTATTAAAGCTAATAAGTCCTTTGTTGTTTATACCATAAATACTATGTATATTGTTACGGTAATATCACTTAGAACAGTGGCTTAGGGCAGATGGAATGCTTCAAACATATAAACAAACAAAAAAGTAAAAACAAATTAAAATAAAACTGCTATGTTGACTGCTTCAGTGGTAAATGTAGGATAAAATATAGGGAATGGAAAAATTTAAATAATATGAAAAATTAAATTAGATAAATAACAAGACTGAAAATAATTCCTTAAAACTTGACTTGCTTACAGGGTGCAAAACAAAATAATAAAACAGACAATTTAATGTTACGTTAGAGAACATGAAATAAAATGGTGCTTGAAAATACTGTATTCCAGGCTGCAGAGATCTACCACCACGCAAGGTAGTGTGAGGGTAGGTCCTGCAGGAAGAACACGAGAGAGTATTCTGCTGAGGGTGGTGGCCGGCTTCTATTTATATGGGACTTGATCAATGTAGGTGGCGCTGGTGTGACGATAACTGGGAGCCGCAGATTGCTTGTCCCCGGCCGGTGGCGTGAGCTTACCATCACCAGGTGTGCTGGGGGTTGCGGGTACTGGAGAGTAGAGGGGAAGTAGACCACTTTCTAGACATCTGAGCACTAGTTATTATTGTTGCTGTAAGTTCTTGAATATGTAGATGTTGTATAGTAGAATAGTTGATGATGGAGCAAGCCTAATCTCCTTCCTAGAGAGATTATTGTGACAATACGATAAGACCATGTCGTCTTAATCGACTGAGCTCCGACCATGTCGTAACTCAGTTGATTAAGGCAGCATCTGGGATGCTCTCGGACGCAGGTTCGAATCCTCGTCACGACCCTTGTGGATTTGTTCTGAATACTTTCGTTGGTCACTAAAGCTTTACTAGGAAATTGATTCTGAGTGAATTAAAATTAGATCTCAATAAATGGATGAATGAAAGCAGTCCTATTAGCCACACTTCTTTGGGTATGGAAAGGCTTACGATGGATTCCATACAGATGAACACCCCTATTTATAACAACACCAGTTGTTATAAATACAGATCATGGATACAGAATAGTATTATAGAAAGGACAAATGACCATATTTTTGTAGAAGGCTTTACCCCAGGTACATCGGCAGTTGGGATTAGAGGTGACCTAGTCAGGTCAAGAAGGATAATAGGATTGGACCCAGGATAGCAGTCTCATTAGACATTGAAATGTAAGTCTTGCCCTAATCACACACTCAGACAAAGCCCTCAAGAGAGTGCAAAAGACTTGGTGTAAATTCCTGACATAAATTTCACACATACACAAGTGTGGGTTTTTATCCTATGTTATTATGTCTGTGAAAAGGCATTACCATTAGTAATTATTATAATTTTCCTTGAGCTGAGTATCCATATTCCATAGCAATACTGGTAAGATTTTCGAGAGTGGCCTTTTAGACTGTAGCTCCTCATGGTACGGCAGCTTCCCTCTACCAGGGGAAGGTCAACGGGGCACAAGTCACCCAGCAGCAATTACGAAATTGTAAACTGATTGACGGGGTCTTGTTCCAGAGAAAACTATAGTAAAATAAATAATTTTTTTTATTCAGGTAAGGTACATACATACAAGGTAAGATACAAAGTTGATGGATTTATAGATAGAGCTAGTACATACAATGCCTAAAGCCACTATTACGCAAAGCGTTTCGGGCAGTCGTAAGGTAGTATAAGTAGTAACGTAGTGTAAGGCTTAACGTGACCTATAGAAATAGAAGCTCTAGGCTTCCTAACAAGAGTCTCAAGTTGACTACTGAGGTATTCAACTGTGTAAAAAAAAATGGTGTATAAACAACTTGATTGCAAAAAATGAGAGGAAGAGGCTGCGCACGTGCTGCAACTTCTCAACATGGTGTAAGTCTTGGGACATGCATGTCCTCGTTACTTGACCTTTTTGTATTTGTTTAATGATTTCATTCTAATGACATAACTTGATATGTCGCTTTTGAGGTTTGAGTTTTGCTACCAGTAAAGATGGCTACGGTTTATTGGGCACCTCCCACATGTGACTTGTATAATGGCATTAATCCAGAAATCATTAATACAATAATTCAAGCAACAGCTGTAGATGAGACTATGACGAGAACGTAAGGTGTTATCAAATTTGTCACATACCTCTCAAATTATTGACTTATTAATGTTATTCAGTAGAACAAGTTTACTTTTTTATATCTGTATTAATAAGTATTTAGGCACAGAGCAGTATGCTGTGTACTCAGTTTTGTTACAGAATATTTCAAGACAGAGCTCCTCTATTATCCCCACCTCTCAGGATGGTTAGTCATACATGGTAATAAAGAAGAAACATGAGATGTAAGTCTACTCTACTCTAGCTCCTGCACTACCAAACTTTGGCTACACTATATGAGAGGTAATATAGTGAGTGAATATCAGCTAGTGAATGAAATGGTCACAAAGCTCCATGTACCTCATGCCACATGGTCCAAATTCAGACAATAAGCCGGGTTAATTTTTGTTCGATTTGTCCTGATATTCACCCAAGCCGATTTTTTTTTATAACAGGATAATTTATTATATACAAGAGTACAGTATATTGCGAGTTTTGATCAACATCAGGAAAATACTGATACTTAACAAATAAGTGCACTATACGATAGACGTAAGAGAAAGAATTAGTGAGAATTATTTATTAAAAATTTTAGTCCAATATTTCATCACATTACGGTGAAGGAGGCGGTGACGTCATGAGGTAGGCCATGAGTCAGCCTCACATGACCACACTGTTGCCACCTCAACCCTTCCACCACACGGAAATAACATTCATTTAATTATTATATGATGACTTTTGTGGCTGGTAACCCCTTACGGGGGACAGTTTGACCTGCGTCTGTGTGTATAGAGTGAAGAGTCACAACTGTATACACAGGTATACTATATTAGTAATGTATATCTTGTATACGAGTCGTGAAGTACGCCGTGTTCGGTGTACAACAGGTGTTCGTCCACACGTTCAACAGGACAACAGGTGTTTGGCCACACGAAAACCTGTGTTCTATACATCCATGTGTTATGTATCTTTTCTGAAAGTTTTTGCCATCTATTTCAAAGACGGCTGTTTTAAGTTTGTGTTATGATTTTAATTAAATTGTATTCTTAATGTCATTGCTTTATTGCATTGCAGGTGCTGAACACCTGCTTATATTCCTCTATTGCTGGATGTTGCTGATTTTGCTGTTATTAGGGGTTGATGAGTGGAGTTGACCTTACTGTTGATTGGTGCAGTTGACCTTACTGTTGATTGGTGCAGTTGACCTTACTGTTGTTTGGTGCAGTTGACCTCACTTGTTGGGGGTAGTTGACCTCACTTGTTGGGGTAGTTGACCTCACTTGTTGGGGTAGTTGACCTCACTTGTTGGGGGGTAGTTGACCTCACTTGTTGGGGGTAGTTGACATCACTTGTTGGGGGGTAGTTGACCTCACTTGTTGGGGGTAGTTGACATCACTTGTTGGGGGGTAGTTGACCTCACTTGTTGGGGGTAGTTGACCTCACTTGTTGGGGGGTAGTTGACCTCACTTGTTGGGGGTAGTTGACCTCACTTGTTGGAGGTAGTTGACCTCACTTGTTGGGGGTAGTTGACCTCACTTGTTGGGGGTAGTTGACCTCACTTGTTGGGGGTAGTTGACCTCACTTGTTGGGGGGTAGTTGACCTCACTTGTTGGGGGTAGTTGACCTCACTTGTTGGGGGTAGTTGACCTCACTTGTTGGGGGGCAGTTGACCTCACTTGTTGGGGAGTAGTTGACCTCACTTGTTGGGGGGTAGTTGACCTCACTTGTTGGGGGTAGTTGACCTCACTTGTTGGGGGTAGTTGACCTCACTTGTTGGGGGGTAGTTGACCTCACTTGTTGGGGGTAGTTGACCTCACTTGTTGGGGGTAGTTGACCTCACTTGTTGGGGGGTAGTTGACCTCACTTGTTGGGGGTAGTTGACCTCACTTGTTGGGGGTAGTTGACCTCACTTGTTGGGGAGTAGTTGACCTCACTTGTTGGGGAGTAGTTGACCTCACTTGTTGGGGAGTAGTTGACCTCACTTGTTGGGGAGTAGTTGACCTCACTTGTTGGGGGTAGTTGACCTCACTTGTTGGGGGTAGTTGACCTCACTTGTTGGGGAGTAGTTGACCTCACTTGTTGGGGGGTAGTTGACCTCACTTGTTGGGGGGTAGTTGACCTCACTTGTTGGGGTAGTTGACATCACTTGTTGGGGGTAGTTGACCTCACTTGTTGGGTGAAGTTGACTTCTGTTGTCTGGGTGTAGTTGACCTCTCTGTTGTTGGGTTTAGCTCACTCCTTGGACGGTAGAGAGACGGTCTCACGTCTTGTAGGTCTGCGTTCAATCCCCGACCGTCCAAGTGGTTGGGCACCATCTCTTTCCTCCGTTCTATCCTAAATCCTTATCCCTTCCAACTGCTATAATGTCGTAAGGGGTTATTGCTTTCTCCTGATAATTATCTAACTGGTTGTAGTCGCTGTCGTGTGTGGCGCCGGGGTCATTGCGCTGCTCACTAAACTAATCCTAACTGGCCAAAATTGTAAAAGATAAATAAGATGCGAGAGTGGTGCGGGCGACATTTCTGCCCCGTCACTCATGGAACATTCTACTAGTCTCTGGATACAACGTTTTAGTAAGCTTCACCAAGCGTTATTATTGCCTATATACTCGTTGCTAGTATAAAAGTTATTAATAATTGGAAATATAATATATAGTTTTATATTATAAAGTGAGAGAGGTTATCTTGAGATGATTTCGGGGCTTTAGTGTCCCCGCGGCCCGGTCCTCGACCAGGCCTCCACCCTCAGGAAGCAGCCCGTGACAGCTGACTAACACCCAGGTACCTATTTTACTGCTAGGTAACAGGGGCATAGGGTGAAAGAAACTCTGCCCATTGTTTCTCGCCGGCGCCCGGGATCGAACCCAGGATCACAAGTCCAACGTGCTGTCCGTTCGGCCGACCGGCTCCCCAAGATAACATTACATTGCAGTGTGTTAAAACGTCGACTCTATAATACAGTACAGAAGATAAGAAGACTCAGATATTCGTGGCGGATAAAGAATAAAGAGTTGACGTATATATATATATGCGATGTACTGGACCTGACAGCTGAGTGGACAGCTTTCGGGATTCGAAGTCCTAAGGTTCCGGGTTCGATCACTGGTGGAGGTGGAAACAAATGGAAACAAACAACAAATATTCATTAAAAATCGTCTGGGAAAGGGTCTCGTGTAAATGCTAATATTTCATAAGGAATGTAATGTAGGCCGACCCCAATCAGCCTATGTCAGTTCCGTACCCCAGACCATTCCTCCTGCAAATTTGAGTGTGGCTAACCTTACGCGTCTGTCCTCCAACTTTTGACAGACATATTCTCTTGTAAATTGGTTATCGGTAGGACAATTTGACTCGTTTTTGACTCTCCGTTGGGAACCCCGAATTCGAATCCCATACGGGACAAAATCGGTTGGGCTCACATTCTATCACCTACTGCCTCTGCTCACCTAGCAGCAAATAGATGACCGGGACTTGAGTCAACTGTCTCATTATTGTAAGTATTGTAAGTAAATTATTATGATTATCGTAACTTCATTGTATATTAATGTGTTACACCAGGGCGGCTACCGAACATTGCGCAATATGATGACGGTAAGTTTGACCCGGACCTGGCCAGATATGAAGCCCTATATCGACCTACAGGTTAATGTAAGCTAGGCCATCAGTATAGCTCACAGACCATCTTGCAACTATTTTTCGTTCTAGAACAAAGTACAAGACGAGTATGTTCTGTGTTTATACAGTGATTGACAGGCCGCACCTCTTGCGGTTGCCATATATATATAATGCCATTTTGAACAGGTCAACGACGCGTTGTATGCCGCGTCATGATGGCTTGGTGCCGAGGCGAACACAACCTCTTCTAAAAAATAGTTGCATCATTATTTGTTTCAAATTATGCTGACTTCATTAACTTAAAAATACTTATTTTATGATTTCAATTATTAGCGTATGATATGAATTAAAAGTATAATTTTAATGTATTTTGGATATATTTGATGCTGTGTTTGTAAACAAGAGCTGCCCAGCTGATCCAGGGGATTGCCATATAATTTCCAAATGCAATTTCAAACAACATAACTGGGCTAATTTAAATGTAGCAGACCCCTGAACAAAAAAACTTTATTTTATAAATAATAATAAGGTGCAGACATTTATATTGTTCCGCAAATAGATGCTAGAGGAGATTAAAGAGGGATTACTAAGTGTGTGGCAACGCGGCGTGCGGGTGACGGAGAGTGGTGTGACGCACCAGACACAAGCCCTCACCCTCGCCACGGTCGCCCTCTGTCATCATCCTCCGTCACTCTAGAACCTCGGCGAACACTCTACCAGCGACTGCGAGCTTCGATTTCACTTATCATCGCCGAGTATATATGGTGAAGGCGGCGCGAGGAGGAGACACACACGTTTGTGAAGAGTACTAGTGTGGTTGGTGGTGAGCGGTGCGGACATCTTGCCTTTACAGATTTCCTGCGACATTGTTCGTCTTACTCGCGGTAAGTGGTGACTCCAGGTCACATACGCCTGTCTTAGTGTTGTGTGGGGGACACTTGCCCACGGTGGCTGTTTGTAAGGGCGTGTAACTATAGAGACTCGTTCTTATTTGCACAATATGCTACTTGTTCATGTGTATCTTCTTTGTTCCAAGAAGCAGATTACTCTTAGATCTAAAGACTAATTTGAAAGGCATTTTGGAGGAAAATTATACACATATCTGCAGGTCGGTTATTATCAATATTGTATAGAACTTTATTAATTATATGGGTTACTTTGACTGTATTAATGTTTTGGTTGACTTGAACACACTATATTTGTCCACCTTAAGAAATGGTACTACAGTAATTAATTATTTTGGTATACCATTTTTATATTTTTGATATACCATTTTTATATTTTTGATATACCAGTACGTACTATGGAAATTCAAAAGATAGCAAAGTAAAATTTGTTTACCCACATTATACTAGCATTTGTGTATGCTCCCATGTTAAAATTTATGCATTTTGATATGTAAGATGCATTTATACATGGTTTAACTCAGTTAAATCTCAAACATGTAAAGAATGTCCTTACAGTCTGCAGCATTTCGTTTCAAATGCAATAATTCCTGTCCAAATTGAACTGATACTGTAGAATTATTTAAACATTGAACCCCTTCACCTTACCCGAGAACATGTTCATGTTGGAAATGGGCTCAGTTGTTAGAAGATAATTTAGTCAAAATTGTCAGTGATTTTTGTTGTTGTTGGGCCTTTATTCAAATTCTACAGTTCCCTATGAGACCATTTCCAATGTATCCAAAATCTTTAGGTCAAGTAAAAGTCTCATTTTTAAAATGGAGTAATAATTAGTGCATTATTGACAAAGTAATTATAAGGACAATATTAAAGTACAGTAATTATATAATTATAAATAATTACAAATTGTAAAGTAATTATCAAGATAAGTGTAAAGTCACTAATTATATACTACCTTAACATTTAAATTAATATTTGTTTTAACATTAACTATTGAAGAACTAATTTCTGTATGTATATACAGAATGCAAATAAAATTGTCTGATTTTCAAAAAAGTGTTAATGTTAATATATGTGATTTTGAAATTTTTAGTGGAAAATAATTTGATCTGGATTTGAATTTATGCAGAAAATAGACATGCTAATACAGTGTGTTGCTATAATGTTTTAATGTACAGTATGCAGTCAAAATTCTATAAATTTAATGTTTCTGGAAGTCTGAATGCTGTACAGAACTGGAGAATTGGTTTGAATGGTTTTAATTAGTTTGAATGGCCCTATTTATTTTCATTGTATCATTTTGTTTACAACCTGGGAATATTTTTGATCACTGATATATATATTTTTTCCTGTACATCACTATAATTTAATCGGTTTTGTTTCAGAAACTTGAAAATTAGTCATCATGTCAGAGGAAAGGAGCTTAAGTATAAAGGTATACTTGGATGTGGGTGGCGGCCGGCAGGAAGTCCGCAGGTTTGCTTTCCCTGAGAACCTGGCCACAAACTTCCGTTGCTTGAAAGAGAAAGTAGCTTCAGTATTTACTTTAGGAAACAAGGAATTCACCATCTCCTGGAAAGGTTAGAAGCATGTGTATCATTTTTTTTTAATTTTTATTGTTTTCACTGTTTACTACTACAGTACTGTTTATTAATTTAGTTTTCACTACAGTACTGTTGGACATTTTTAATATAGTACAGTACTTACACATTCATAAGATCTCTACAATAATCTGTGTGTATACTCAGTTTGAAGTTGGAAAGTGGTTAGTAAAGTTATTCATTGTATTTTTATAATTTCAAATGTTTAAGTTCAACCATTTGGGCTGGACGGTAAAGCAACGGTCTCGCTTCATGCAGGTCGGTGTTCAATCCCCGACCGTCCAAGTGGTTGGGCACTATTCCCCCCCCCCTATCCTATCTCAAATCCTTATCCTGACCCCTTCCCAGTGCTATATAGATTTAATGGCTTGGCACTTTATCCTGAAAAATCCCTTCCCTTCAAATGTTTAAAGTGTTAAGTGGTAAATGGGGAGCTAAAAATCAATAATGAAATAAGGATGTACTGGAATCTGATTATTAGTTTCAGTACCAGGAATATTTGAATGTCAAAGATTTTCTTAAAGTGAAATTAAAAATTTATTGAGTAGGATAAGGAAGTGATTACCTAACTCATTCATCTACACAGACCATCATGTGATGATGGTCTGTGTAGATGAATGAAACTTGAGGACATACACACAGAGTTTGTTTTCTTTTCTAATACATTTTACTGTATTGTACTTAATTTTTTTTTCAGATGCTGAAGGAGATTTGATTGTAATCTCATCGGATGATGAACTGATGGAGGCCCTCGCTGACTCCTTGAGCAATCAGAACCTCCAGCTCTTGCGGATCACTGTTACTGTGGGTTCTAGGCCAGATGTGGGCCCTAACAACTCAGTGCCAGGTATATTAAAAGTGTCTGTTTTTTTCAGATTGGTTTATCTTACTGGTTGCCTGAACAACTGTTTTGTTTATGTATAAACTGTGATGCTTTCTACCCCTTTGTAACTCTTTCTGTGGTGATAGAATATAAGCTCTAATGACTTGGAGTGACAGCCTAATGTGATTTTGCTTCTTTTTATGGGCAAAGGACAGGTGGCAGGCTAAAAATAATCCATCTTCTAGGAGACAAAATCTGTGATTGTGATTCTTTATGCCAGTCTTTTATCCCCTTCAGTACCATGTTTTCTGTTACGGAATCGAATCGAAATTGTAAATCTATCCGAAAGATGAATGTCATGGTTTTTTTTTTACTTCGGTGACCTCATAATGGTGCCAGAGGAGTTATCAGTCAGATTAATTTTCTATATGGTGAGAAGGACATTGTACGTCATGATGACCTGTCTGCTAATATTAATCTCCATCTTTCTAAATTGGGAGACTGATTACTAAAGTCAAAACTACAGTATGTGGACCATTCGTAACAGGTTTGCACCCTCTTTAACAGTACAAGGATTTCTTCAATGATCATCAGCATGATCATAAAACAATCCAAAGCCATTGCAAGTCTTGAAAGACAACTTTCTGATGGATTTTGCTTTTACCGACTCTTAGAACATTTAACAAATACTGTATATGGTTCACAAAAATTTTCATATTTCTGGCATATCAGGCCCACCTAATTTACTTGGATATTTTTTTATTATATTTTGTATTATATAAGCATGTTTCATTGTACATTTATTGATAGCGATTTTCAGTGATATTGTATGGATATACTGTACTGTATGTGATTTTGTGCATGTAAATGTAATATATATTAAGTTGGTGGTGAACCAAAAACACACATCCTTTCCACTCTAAAATACAGTATACAGTATAGTTATAATTCTTTGTGGTTACCATAAGTGTTTAAATACATTGTAATACAATTTTAAATGCTAAATGTACAATTCAACATTCTCTTCTTTTATGTGAATGGGTCTTTTTAGTTGATAATCATGTGTTACATGTACATGTGTGCTATAAAAAGGCTTGTAGTTTTCAGAAAGCTCAGTACTGTATATAGTACGTATTGAAACAAAATTGTGCTTCAGTAGCAGTCTCTTGCATTGTTTAATATCATAGTTTAGCACCATTGTTGTCGACATTGTAGGTGTTGAGATGATTGTTTTGTGATTTAAACTTACATATCATTGCTCATTAATTTTTTGTTACATATGAGTTTTTACTTCATTAGCTGAACAAAAATGATCAAGAGTGGATTAACAGTGTGCTTTCAAGTTTCTTGTCTCTCCTATACTGTACCCAACTAGGTACTTGTACTGGTTGGTACAGTGACAGTTTCACTTCTTGCAGTTTGACATTTAATCTCCAGTTGTCCAAGTGGTTGAGCACTATTCCTTCCCTCTATCCTATCCCAGGGCCTTGTCCTCATATGTCTTCAAACTACTAGTTGTTCTATCTTAGTGCTTTTTCCTCATAATTACTACACTTTACCTTTCCTATACAGTGTATTTCTATGCAAATTACTGTAGTGTTTGTGGCATTTACGGCATTGACAAACAATTATTTTCAACTTATTTTGATTTTTACTGAAAAAGAATTGGAAAAAATGGCAGTGCTTCTAGGATGTTTAAGAAAAGATTACATTTACTGTTAATTTTTAAGTAGATTGTAGTGAAATCTAGATAATGTTAGACTTTTTGAGTAGGTAACATTCCTATCCCAACTACCTTCTTTCCTTTTAAAGTTTACTGCAATAATAGAGTGAAACTAACAAAGGAGGCAAAATAAAGCCCATCTTTATTTAAATCTTTATTTGTTCAGGTAATCAGCAGGGTCCTCTCCATGAAGGAATAGTTTGTGATAGCTGTGAGGGGCCTGTCCGTGGGTTTCGATACCGCTGTGTCAGCTGTGAGGACTATGACCTGTGTGGTGCCTGTGAAGTCAAAGGAATACATGCTGAGCACAAGATGATGCGCATGTCTAAACCACTTGCAAAGGTAAGGAGCTAAATTGTTTGTAGAAACACTGTACAGTTTTAGAGGGATTGCAAGCTTGTAACTAATTTTTATAATTTTGTTGCAAGAAATTTGTTTAGAGCATTAGGTACAGTATTCACAGTAAGGAAGGAATCTGTTGTTAAATCACTTTGGTATGATTATACAATGAGTTTTCCTATTTAAATTAAACAATGTAAGTCCTTGGTCTTCTCTTTCTTTAGACAAATATATTGTCACTTTGTAGTAGGTTCATCTGTGTAATGCACTACAATTTAAATCTGTTTAAATAGTGTCTAACAAACATTCTGCATAAATGCTCTGATATCGGGGAAGCTCCAAGTAGTCTATTTGAATTGGAAACCCAGGAACATTTTGCTGGAGCCAATTTTCTGCATATATTAACACTTTACGTGACCTACCCCAAGGTCGGCCTGGCGTTTCCCGTGAGCGTGCACCCACACTAAAATATGTGTACTTTTCCAGTGTTCTGACCTCGATTTTTGTGCTACACGTTCACTTTGATATTAAATTGTTCGCAATCGAAAGGCGCGCATTTTAGAACTAGTCCCATAATAATCGAACAATAAATTAAATTTTAACAAATGTTAATTTTGTACACAACATGCGTCCCCGCCAGATATCTGTAGAGTTATTTATGAATGCAATTTCCATCCCTGCCTACCAAAAGTGTTAAGCTAAAAATGGTGTAAGAGAATTCCTTCATTTACACATTTTCATCATGGTAATCCACTGGTAGCCATTTTTATAATCTAATATCTCATAAATTGGCTTTTGAGTTCTTTAGTTAATACAGTATTGCCATGCTATCATGGTATTGTAATTATTATTATTATTAACCTTGGCTATGTTTTTTTCATATGAAAATATTAGTATATTAGAGAGAGATAAGGGAAATAAATTTAAAATAAAAAGGCATTTAATTTTTAATTACTTCATACTGTTTGATTTGCTAGATATATTGTCATAAGAAATCGGTAATACTTTTTTGTGATTGCTCTTGCTATTTAACCATATGTACCTTTGTTTTTTATTTTAATTACTAATATAATATTTTATTGGTTCAGGGATCTCCTTGGTTCTTCTGGAGGGAATCTGAAGATTCACCTGGAAATTTCACTTCGCATTTTGGAGTAAGCGGTGGCACTGGCCCGACGTGCTTTACCTCAAGTTCTACATCTGGTGCAGGAACAGGTGCTGGTGCCGGTGCCGGAGCAGGTGCCGGTGCCTGGAGCAGTTGGGGTGGTCGTGGAGGTCGCTTTGGCCATAGGAGAGGATGTGGAGCCAGGGGACCTGGAGGATGGGCAGGATGGTGGGGCAGAAATTGGGGTGGAAAAACTGGAGGAGGCTGTGAACAAAGTCAGTCTATGGGCACTGGCTTTGGACAGCAGCACCAACACCACCACCAACAGCATCATCGTCATCATCATCAACAACACCAGCAGCAGCATCAACAGCAGCATCAGCAGCAGCAACAACAACAACAGAGTCAACAACAAGGAAATATGAATAGCAATATGCACTCTGAATTTCCCTGGGCAAATGGATGCCCTTTCATGACTGGAGAATGCAGTCCCCAGCATATGGCAGAAGATGCTCAAAAAATAGCTGAGGATGCTCAGAAAATGGCAGAAGAGGCTGCACAGCATGCCCAAGAGTTTGCTTCACAGATGGCTTCAGAACATGTTGCCAATGTAATGCGTGGCATCTGGACAGCTTGGACTGGCCACCAGGGACCTGGTCATGTAAAAACTGCTACTGCTAGTTCTTCTTCCTCATCCTCTTCATCTTCAAGTTCTAATGGAGATACCCAGCAACCAAAATCCAGCAAGCCCGTGGGAGATGATGATCAGCAACAGAAAGATACAAACAAGGATGCTAATCAAACTGCTGGAGAAGAGTACCTGAAAAATGTTGGAGAAACTGTTGCAGCAATGTTGGACCCTATGGGTGAGTGGAATGATCTTAGTGGGCTAATATTAATTACCTTCACCATTGGTTCATCAACATATCTCTGTCATTTCATTTTAGGTGGTCATTATAGGTGGTCACTCAAAAATGCATTATTGTGAGGAAAGTAATATGACTTAGTAATTAATTAATGGGTACTTTGACATTAATGGTTCTGGCTTAGTGTTACACATGCTCTTTCATTCACAAGTAATTTTGTTGTAGATGGTTAAAATGGGATCCAGGAGGCAGCAGTATGGGCTCAAAACCAATGCATTTTAAAATGAGTTTCTTCACTGCTTCATGACAATATGGTCACAATTACTCTTGGGCTGTTTTCTTAATGAAATTATATTAGTTTTGTGTTGTTCCTGCAATACCTTGTCTTAAAATTTGTTGCATCATACAATTAATACTTTGCATTTATTAATATCGATAATTGAAAAATATTATCCTAATTTACCAAGTTATCTAAATATCCATGTAATCTCTGATAAATAATTTTAGTAGTTTTGCTCTAGTTATGCTATGGATCTCATCATGTCTAGACATTTTGATTCATTTCTGTACTTTTTTTTCTTGATATTGACATAGCCAATTTTTAATTAAACTTAGCCTAAAAATATGGTTCTCTACGACATAGCTCAATTTGAAAAAGTACTTACTGAAGAACCTTTAAAACAGATCATGAAAAATTGCTTCAACTCGTCATTGATGGATTTCTATACTTTCCTCAAGCCGTTACTGCTGCCTCCTATTTTAATGCTTCTTTATCTTAGCTTCATTTTGGTTATTTCCAAGATTTGATGATGATATCTAGCCATTATTCACATATTCTTTGTTTTAATGTAAAGCATGTGCAGTAGAAAAAATTGCTTCAAAGCTAATACTGTATACCATATATTACACGTGCTGACTAGCCTATGAGGTTACAGTGCTTGGCCTTATGCCAAAAGTCTCTCATTTCTTTTCCTAGTGTGATACTGGTAAAATTGAATAAATTCACCTGAATTAATTTGTTTGTTTTCCAGGTATCGACGTTGAAGTGTCTGTAGAGCACAATGGAATTCGTCAACGCTGCAGTCTGAGCAAGGATGATGTGGAAAGTCGTAGGAGTCCAACAGCTTCATTTTCTCCAAGTCCTCCTAAAGAACCAGAATCATCTGAACAGCCTTTGGCATCAGAGACGAGTGCAAACATGGAAGTACAGAGTGATGCTGTAAGGCAACAAGAAGGCAGTGTTGGTGTAGCAGATGTTATGGAAGTCTGTAGCCCTCAAGCAGGACCAAGCCAGAACTCAGGAGAGCAGATGGAAGCTGAGCATTCATCTTCAGACATAGAGGACTGGACCCTAGTGAACCAAGATGCTAATTCAGTTTCCCAGGGTGCTGTCAAATCTAAGTCACCACCTACTGAAAGGAGAGTTGCCTACCCAGATCTGAGTATGGTTGAGGCCCATCCAAGTAAGTAACTGACATTGATTTTTGTGTTTACAAGTTAAGTAAGTTGATAATTTTTTAAGCTATTTTTGTTGTGAATGTTACCAACTTTCTAATGTAAACCTTACTTATTACATGTTTTCCCCATCAGTGGAAAATGTAATATAGATAAGTTGAAGCATAATTTCTTTTTCTCTATGAGAGTCCAGAGCATACAGATTTAGACTTCCGCTTTTTTTTTTTATTATTATTATTAAGACCCACTTTCATAATGTGCAGTGGATTTGTTCACCTGTATGCAAGTTGGGATATGAGGTTCGCACAACCAGAACCAGAGCATCATTTTAGTGTGCGACACTCGATTACTAATTTCTGATCTTGTGTTTTATGCAGTTACATTTTTTGCATATTAGCATCAAGTGGACTTTCAAGTCAAAAGAATCAATGTATAAATGTATAGAAAAAGGCAAATAAGATTCTGCTAATCTTAACTAACAAAGTTAGCAATATAACGACTCATTTTAATTTTATTCTTTAGCTTTGTCTTTACCGTGTTGAACTCCCATTTAGATTACACAAGTTTGGTTTTAGTCACTGTACTATGGAATGGAATGTTCTTTTCTGGTTCTATTGCCAACTGAATGTTGCAAATTTATAGCAATGTCAAATAATACTTTGCAGCATTAAATATGAACAGTACAATAATACAGTATATGACATTTCCTCTGCAGATCCTGTCATTCAGCGTGCCCTGGAGCAGATGCAGTCTATGGGCTATAGCAATGATGGTGGCTGGCTCACCAACCTTTTAGAGATAAAGCAAGGGGATATCAACCAGGTGCTTGACCTGCTTCAGCCAGTTCATAAGTAAATCTCTCAGTCAAAAGTGACAATTTTCTGAGAGGCAGAAAAAATAACTGTTGTAAGGAATTTTCATAGTTTGCATTTACTGATGTCATAATCGTTTAAAAGGTTGCATGGTTAAGTAGGGTAGCCTACTGTATAACCTTTCTCTGCATCGGATATTGTTCTTCTTTAACTCTTGCTATATCTTCCTGTTGACCCATCTCACCAGAACAGTACAACCAGACATTGAAAAATGAAAGGACTTACTATGTCACTCCTTTAGTGGAGAATGAAGTGGAAAGCTGAAATTGCTATTTAATTTATATAGAATTTTATGTTTTTGAGTTGAATAAATGATCAGTTTTTGTTTAAGACTGTTGGATATACATTTATGTTAAAGTACTATTATTTATTTTTTAATGTATATCATTACAAAGTGGTTGATGCAGACCTTGAAATTCCTTTTAACACTAAATTCCATTGCAAAACTGAAATATGATGTTGATGTTGACATATTGAAAGAATTACCATTCTTTGAAATTGGGTTCTAATTCACATGTTGAATTAGTGTTTCATATAGGAAGGACTTTTGATATATAATCTATTGATGGAAGTTTGTGTAGCAGAAGACTTTAGTGAGCACAGGTACAAGTTTTCCCTGTAATCAGTTGCTGTATGTTGTTTATATATAATCATGATGTATAATCCATTTCCTAAGAATTGTTGTATAATCTATTCCAAAAGTGTAAGATATGTTAATGTAGAAAGGGTACAGTATATTTTTTGCTCTGGTATTTTAAAAGCACTAGATATATTCTCCATAGTTCTGTACCAAATATTTATCTAGTGTGAGATTGCATGAAAGAAATACATAGTTATGTATTACTACTGTGTGACCTGTAGCAGTGAGCATATTTTATGACTTGGATAGTTATTTGGAAATGCACTCTGCACAATATATTTTTGCCTAAGTAGATGAAGCTCTTATTAAGAAATATATAATGGCATACTTTAAGTATTTAATGATTTTTTTTATTGGCCCCTTCCTCTCCCAAATGTGTGTATGCATATAAAAATAATGTATATACATACATTATCAAATATGTAGTATATTATAAAGTATACTTAAATATGTTTTAATTTATACTTGAGAATCCTGAGATTCATATCTTATTGCTGGCTTTAAAATAAAAAGTCTAAACAAGTCTTGTCTGGTTTTGCTAGCCAGGGAATACTAAACCCTACTCCATTATTTGCTCCAAGATCAAATAATGACAATGACGTTTTTAACAATTATGAAATGGAGCATCACATACTAGTTAAAAGCAAATAATAAAATAACCATGTATTTTGCATACAGTATGTTAATATGAATGTTACAGTATGTTTTAATGAATACTGCGCTATAATTATGATTTGATGAGCAATGCTGACACATCTCATTCACAGAGCCTAAAAAGCTCTATCTGAAACTCAGCGGTGCATTGGTAATGCTACAATAAGTTCGCTTATTTTAACTTGCCGCTGGTGGTTGAAGCAGACATTTGTATGATGAACATGGATATTTGTTTATTATATAGTTCTTTGCTATTTTGAAGTTCATTATGGAGTTCTTTGCTATATGTTGGTTCTTATTATATTCCTTAAATTTCTTTTCTGATTTGGAAAATAATGTTTTATTTTTTCAATTATTGGGTAGTGAAGAGAGAATGTGTGCATTGCATAAATAGATGCAATTAATTACTTTTCTCAAAGTAATAATATATTTGCATGGGTTAGCACATATTTAATGGTGGTATAATTGTGTATTATGTGGTACAAACCAAGTAAAATTTTCAAATGATTTTTCTGGAATTGGAATGATGTTACTGTATAACCAATGAAATGGAATAAAAGTATTATAGTATGTTTTCTTTTTTAATTCCTACACTACAATGCAATGTTTCCATACAAGAGTTTTTGTTTTTAGATATAATTGTAATGATTTATGTAAATTTAGTGAACTGGTATGTTAATGCACACTTATGTGCCACACACACACATTTATTTAATCAAATGGTGTACAAATTCTGGATTAAAAGACGGCATCTTTAGTTCATAATGAATTTCACATAAAAATTACATGTTGGTCAGCACTTCACTCTTGGATTTCACTTTCATGTACCAAATTGCTGACCACTTTATGGTGCAATTAGCTCTACATTTAGATAAAAAAAATTCCTATGTTTCCTATACACTGCAAGTACCCCCAAAACAGCCTTAGTGAATTTGGCTCATTTAACTATCTTGGGTGTTTTTGCTCTATTGGCATCCTGAATAATATTTAGGAACTTGTGAATATTCTGTACCAGTAAACTGCTATAGAGACATACTGGCTTAGTGTTTTTTTTATAATGGCTTATTTTGCATCCCTTATGTTGTAGGGAATTCTGTCTTCAAATTAAAGGTGTAAAATAGCCTTGACTCTGAGGCCCATAAATGCCTAGGCCTGAATAATGTGGATTGCAAGATGAATAAAGAGCACAAGGTGGGAATTGAGGAAATTACAACAAATATCAATGTGCTAGGTTTATATGAGAAAGATGAGTGGAATGGAATAAATATATAAGAATAGGAGTTTGTGTGTGAAATCTAATTAAAAAAAACAACGGTGGTGATTGTTATTGCATGTACACAGTGATTTTTGTGATGACAAGCAAAACAATAAGATTAGGTTGAAACCTGTGAGTTATACAATAAATGTAATTGATTATCTAAATGATAAGAGGGAATAGACAATGAGAGTGGCCTAATGGGTAGCAATGATACTCTAGGAATAAATTATAATGGCTGTGGATTGAAAAATTTATGTAATGAAAGTTATGTATTGCCAATAAATATATAAAATATTTTCATAAATATACAAGGTATAGGGTAGATAGTGGATCTACAAGAGTAACTGCTTGTTGAAAGAAGCATGCACAAGTATATGAATGATACAAGTAAGAGGCATGATCTCTGAAGGTTTACTCACACAGTGAAAAGATTTTACAAGAATTCAAATAAAAAAATGAATGTGGAAAACTGAGTAAGAGAGAACTTAATGAATACATAAATAAATAGAGCACAAGTTGGAAATTAAGGAAATTAAATAGAAATTGTTGTGCTAGGTTTATACGAGAAAGATTTGGTAAGACGTTACCGGTTTTAGTATTAAAACGCATAGGCCTATCTATAGTAATAAAACATAAATATTAAATGGAGGTATAAGATCGTAGCAAAGCCAGGCAATAATTATTATTATTATTGTTATTGAGCTTAATGTTTGTGAACTATAAATATCTGGTTCTTATTACTTAATCAAAACATTTACTACTAGGCATGTATGTTCTTTGTATTACCCAAGGCGGATACTGTAAGACAGACAGCTCATTGCATCATGCATCTGGCTAAAAACGGCCTTCATGACAAGCATGAACGTCCACCCAGACAACACACCAGTGAGCAGCCAGTATGACCTCTGCTCCCCCCAGCACTCCACCACCCATGCACCACCGCTGCTCCACCCCCTCCACCACCACTATTAGACCAGTACACAGTCACTTCACCGCTATTCGACCTCTACACAACCACTATTCGACCAGACACAACCACTACTCGACCAGACACAACCACTACTCGACTAGAACACAACCACTACTCGACCCGTCCCTTATTGAGATCTCTACTCGACCGCTACATGGCAAATGGGTTCAAGACATGTTAGGAAATACTCGTATGCTGAACGAGTGATCAAAAAGTGGAATGCCTCGAGAACAGAGGCCGTGGAAGCCACCTCCATCCACAACTTTATGGCTAGAATTGGAACGTCAGGAAAGGTAAATTACAACGCAAGTAAAACGCTTGCATAGAGAGCTAGACCTCACTTTCTCGTAGACACCGTTAAGTAAACACAGTCGTAGGTAAGCACGGTTAGATAAGGCGGGACCAAAGAGCTTGAACTCAACTCGGGCAGATGAGTATAGGAGTGTAAGAATAAAGCAGTGTTGCATCAGGTTACCAGATGTGCGCCACGGACGGCTTGTTGCCACCCGGCTTAGTGGCTTGGGGGTTGCTCTCTCTCTCTCTCTCTCTCTCTCTCACACACACACACACACACACACACACACACACACACACACACACACACACACACACACACACACACACACACACACACACACACACACACACACACACACACACACACACACACGCTCACTCACTCTCTCTCTCTCTCTCTCTCTCTCTCTCTCTCTCTCTCTCTCTCTCTCTCTCTCTCTCTCTCTCTCTCTCTCTCTCTCTCTCTCTCTCTCTCTCTCTCTCTCTCTCTCTCTCTCTCTCTCTCTCTCTCTCTCTCTCTCTCTCTCTCTCTCTCTCTCTCTCTCTCTCTCTCTCTGGGGGGGGGGGGCTATTGGGGGCTGATTGTGGTCATGATGATGGTGGTTGTAATGATGATCTTGTGATGGTAATAAGGCAAAGTGCGTGTTGATAATGTGACGAAATTGGTGATTATTACGGCGAGATGATGATATTGATAATGCAACATTATTGATGATGACACGCAACCATGGCACTCTGCAAGCCGTCGACATATACTAATTGTTCCCTATATAATTAACATACATCTCTATAATACTAATACTTATTTGGATACACTTATTTGGATATACTTATTTGGATACTTATATAGTTTTCATCCGTGTCTCCTTATTCATGACCGACTCGTGCTAAATACTGTCCTCACTGTGTTTTATTCAAGGAGCTCACAAGTACTGTACTGACAAAAACATAATAATACAAATACAGTAGTAAAAATAAAAATTGGTTTCTCGGCTAATATTTATCATAAACAAATGCTATTCTCGGCTAACTCTTTGCTTCTACTGTCAATAACTTCTCATCCAAGAAACATGAATTGTTACTGATTAGTTTAACAATTAAACTGCTCATCATCGCAATAGGCTTTTATAGTTATGCTAACAACAGCAACAATTCTCAATAATAATACAAATAACAACAATAATAATAATAATAATAATAATAATAATAATAATAATAATAATAATAATAATAATAATAATAATAATAATAATTGTAATAATTCAAAGAAAGACCAAGTTTCAGATTTAGACTAATTTTTGAATGTTCAATTGATGTGAGGTGCGCGCGCGCACGTACCCGCACTAACCTCAGGTGCGGGTATCCCAAGGATGTTACAGTGAGAATTAGCGTGTTCCAGGGCCATCAACTTCTTTCACCTGTATCCTACAGGGTACAGTAAAAGGTAGGGTACATTGTGTAGTGGGTGTTGGTACATCTGCATGTGATGGTGATGGCAGGTGTGTGTGTGAAAGAGTATTTCACACATCTGCGGTTCGAAGCTGGATGAATTTGAACTCTGAATGTGGGAGTTCCTTGTTAACAACTGATCCTGTAGTACAGTAGTCTGCGTCCTCGACTCACAATCTAGGATCCCGGGCGGAACATAAACGGTTCGGCACATTTCCTCTTGCCTGATACCTTTGTTCACTCGGCAGTAAATAGCTACCCTGGAGTTAGGCATTTTTTTAATTTTTTTTATTTATATATACAAGAGTTCTACATTCTTGTAAAGCCACTAGCACGCATAGCGTTTCGGGCAGGCCCTTAATCCTAATTTTCCCCGGAATACGACCCTCCAAATCGTTTAACAACCAGGTACCCATTCAATGCTGGGTGAACAGAGGCATACAGTTAAAGATTGGGGCCCAGTCAATCCTACCCGGTCAAGATACGAACCCAGGCCAAAACGCTCACGAAGTGTCGGGCGAGTGTTTTACCACTTCGCCACAGGGAGTGACTGTTGTGGCTTGCATGTTGAGAAAGGTCAGTAGTTGGCCTAGGGGGGACCTCGGTAAACCTCCGTACAGGCTTTCTGTCCCCGACAACGATGAAAAGGTCATCACTACAGAACCTGTCCTAGTTATACAAATCTTGTACGGGAACTTTATTCAATGGCTCGCATTAAGACAGGAAAAAATCATAAAAGAGAAGCGACAGAAATGTGATGTCTACCAGAACGGAAGGGAAGATGTAACTCTATTTACTTATCAAAAATAAGATCACCAACTTACTCATGAAGAACTCTCCCAACACTAAACGTCGAGCGCCTTGAAAGAGTCGTATGTTGTTTATATTTGTAAAAGCCCACTTGGGGACTATCAGTCCTAATGCTATATCACTATATAGTCAAGACGGCGACGTCTCTTCCAAGATATCTGCCAATGCATAAACCATTGAATATCATATAATAATTTCTACACACATCCCGACATATCCTGCCTAACAGACACAATCGACCAATACAGCAACTATAAGATCTAAGAGAGCAGAAGCACTTCACATCAAATACTCTCATACAATTATCAACAGCTACGCCTATGTACCATCTACAAGATCAAGAGAAGACTAGACAGGAGAAATAATATATATAGCTAATATCGCAAAACTCTCACCGACATAGTCCTTCAATTAATTTAATATTTCAGCCGCATTTGGATTGAAAAAACAATTTAATTGTCGAAAGATTGTTTTTTCTTTCCGTGTGTCGGGGGAACTTGTTGGAAAATTCCCAGCTTACATGGGTGTCATGGCGGCCAGCGACCATGACGCCGAAGACAGGGTTAACGACAGGAAGTTTATGAAGAAGGGAATACCGTATGTCAAGCTCAATGTTTGTTTTGACTGCACTAACGAGAGGAGTTTCAATCCCGTAGAGTAGAGGCTAGAGTGAGTAACGTATTGACGGGTAAAAAGCCTCTTGAAATAAAATTGTAATTTGATTGGTCGGTCTTAGGCTATCCTCTGTATAGTGATGTAATAATTTGTTAACGTCTTGATCATTTTTCTTGCTGCACCTTCAGCTTTACTTAATATTTGTATACTCGTATTCATTTCCTTCACTGCCAGAGTTTTATACAAGTCAAACATTAAAGCATCCTTGTTAGGTTGGAGTAAAGTTGTATGTGATGGTTAGTGAATGGAGGTTAGTATTGAATTCACACTGGCACTAAAGCAATCTCTTATACTGTGTACTTGAGCCACTCTGCTCTCACCTCGGTGTGTCATGCTGACGGCCTCGCTTCTAATTGTAGGGCAGCATTCAGCTCCCCGACCGTCCAAGTTGCTGGGAACTATTCCTTTCTTCCTATTCTAAATCCTTATCCTCTATCCATTTTAAGTGCTATATAGTCGTAATGCCTTGGTGCTTTCGCCTGATAATCTTACCTTACCTCAGGGTTTCACATAGATGTTGTGCCCATGTGAGGTTTTTCATTGTATTTACCTTAGGATAACACTTTTGTATAGGCTTTGCTAACGCCTATTGTTGTGTTGTTGTTGTTGTTTAAGATTCGCTACTTGGAACAAAATGTTCCAAGTAGCACGGGCTATGGTGAGCCCGTAGCAGTATATTTTTTTATTGTTGTGCTTGCTTGGTTACCTGCATTATTGATGGTAAGATTATACCTGCATCATTGATGGTGGGTTTACCTTCATTATTGATGGTAGGGTTATACCTGCATCATTGATGGTGGATTTACCTGCATCACTGTTGTCTAGAACATTTGTGTGGGTGGTGAATCATCAGTTGGCAAGACCTGAGAAGTGACAGGCGAGTGACCAAAGGTTACTCAACCAGCCACCAGCTCGTGACGCTGCTCTCCATGAGTTCTAAAGCCATTATCATTAGATAACACGATGGACTGGCTTGTAATCTGCAGGGGGCAGGGTTGACTGGCCTGTAATATGCAAGGACATATGGGTATCGGGCTAGTAAAGCAAGGGATTACTTTAGTCATTAGTTCAGTTCAACACTGCTAACGACTATCAATGGAGTTTGAATAACATAAACCCATGGAGGTAGTCTGGAACGGTTGTGAGGAGAGTACCCGCGCGAGGGAGTCTGATACGAAGCTGTTGTCAAGTGCTCTCGGTACTTGCACTGGTCAGTAGAGCAAAGGTCTGCAGGGTCGGCGTTCGATCCCCGATAATTCCAGTGGTTGAGCACCGATTCTTCACTCCATTCTCAAATCCCAGCTCCTTATCCTCATATCTCTTGAAAGTGATATATAGGTATACTGGTTTAACCCTTTATCCTCGTAGTTACCTTACCTAGCAGAGTTTCTTTCACCCTATGCTCCTGTTACCTAGCAGTAAAATAGGTACCTGGGTGTTAGTCAGCTGTCACGGGCTGCTTCCTGGGGGTGGAGGCCTGGTCGAGGACCGGGCCGCGGGGACACTAAAGCCCCGAAATCATCTCAAGATAACCTCAAGATATACCTTACCCATATTTGCGTACATTGGGTTGTGAGATAATATAAAGCCGGAGCGAAGGAACACGCAGGTGAATGATTAGTTGGTAATGTCTTCAAGGTGTGAGCTATTTACAAGAAGTGATTCATCATATAAAGGCAGTGAATCGCCTGTGAAGGCTGGTTGGTCGCTCACCGCGCCCTTCACTACACACTTGTCACGCCAGTCTCAACGTGCTCACCCAGTCGTGACAGCAGGGGCTACCTGTCACGCCAACCTCCCCAACGTCAAGAAACTGTCGTATTAAAGTGCCCTATCCTAACCTACCAGGGGACCCAGGAACAGAAAACAGGGCATTATGTCTTTCGCGAGCTTCTCCCATTTTCAAGTACATTATCTTGTACTTGTCTCGTTGTAAGCGTCACTGCTAATCACCACAGCTTATCTCTCGTACTCTGATAAGATTAAAGTTACATCCCAACCCCAGATGCTGGCAACAAGAGACTGGCATTAATGACATTTCAGCCCGTCCTCCTAAGGTTTCCCAACGGCCAGAAACGGTCGTACTAAAGTGACCTTATCCTAACCTGCCAGAGGACCCAAAACAGAAAACTGGATAGTGCGTCAATTTCGGGAGCGGCTTCCATTTTCTAGTACGACGATTTTTGGCCTTAGGTAAAGTATATGTCAAAATGCAACGTTGTATTAGAAGGACGGGTTCATCATGTAACGAGAGCATTTAGAAAACAGGTTGTGTTGGGACGGATTATCAGACAAAGTTTTGTAATTGCGATAATTTCATTGCTTATTGCAGCTAGATAACATATTAGACGTGGGATCGATGGGTTGTTTCAAGCGTAGGTTAGGCACATATGGATGAATTTGGATGGATATAAATAGGAGCTGCCTAGTATGGGTCAGAGAGCCTTCTGCACTTTCCTGTATTCTTATGTTGGTGTTAGAAAGTGTGGAGGAGAGTGACGACAGCCTCGACGCGGCAGAAATTGGAAGTGTTGCTCTCACAAGGCAGAGTTTGTAAGGAAGGTTTCCCTGGACTTGCTTAGAGGTCTATATAGACCACAGCCAAGATTCCGTACTGACCTACTTTATCAAGTTTATGCACTAATGGAAGGGTTATCATGGACATTATTGTTACATTATAGGGATGTGGGTGGAGGCTCCATCAGCCGTCACTCACTGGAACAAACAGCTCCATATCTCCAACGATAAGGGGAAGGGGAGACGCGTCCAGGGGAGCGGCTCTTCTCCCTATTAAAAGTCTAGGTCCTCCCCCCCCCTTGAAGATGGGGAGATGGAAGGATGTGAAGAGTCAGGTAATGATGGAGGTGGGGGTATTGGTAGAGCCAGGTAGGGGTGAAGGTGGGGGTGGGGAGGGGGTGCTGGTAGAGCCAGGTGGGGGTGAAGGTGGGGAGGGGAGCTGGTAGAACCAGCTAGGTTTCCTCCCATCACTTATCATGTAATATACACTGCAGCAATTATCGAACTCTCTCCGTCATTGTTTTTGCCATTGTGAAGGGCACAACATCAGTCCTCTGGCTCTTACTGATAACTATGCGAGCTCTCCCTTCATCAAGTTTATAGACGGTGGAGCGACGGTCTTGCTTCATGCAGGTCGGCGTTCAATTCCCGACAGTCCAAGTAGGGCACCATTCTTTTCCTCCGTCCCACCCCTTTCAAGTGCTATGTAGTCGGTCCACAATTATTGCTGGGTGCAAAGGGGCGAACAGTGAAAGAACAGCGTCTAGTCGCTTGCCTATTGCTCAGGATTCGAACCAAGTTTTTGTTTGGCTTATGAGGCGAGTGTGGTAATGACAGCACCACAGCGAGAGTGTGAGAAGCAATATATATATATATATATATATATATATATATATATATATATATATATATATATATATATATTAGTATATTTTGGTAGCAGTCTTTCCTGTAGACATATATTATTAAATATGACCGAAAAAGTAAGATTACCATCGCCAGAGAAATCCTAGTAAACAACACAGAAATCATCGATAGATACAGCGATAGCAGGCGGCTTGACGTTTGCGAGGCACTACACATCAAGAAGTCAACACCAGCAATCAACAGCCAATTAATGCACAACTATATTCTACCCACCTCAAGACTCCTCTCCAATATAGAAGCATCAAGAAATATGGACCAATAGGCTTTCTACAAACACTTCTATTCAATACCCATTGTTTCGTGTTCTGTCTTGTGTTGATGAAATTAATACCCTATTAATGCCACCTCACCCCATCCACCTCACTAAAATGTAGATATAAAATCGGAGATGCGTAAGTTCTATTCAGTTGTGTATTTGTAAACTAAAGTCTTTGAAAATGTAATAAGTTTTACGAAACGCGCTCGTGTCGCGTCAGACTAGAAATAAAAATGAATTTTGGAGAATTGATTTTTGATTTACCTCCAACAGTGAAAAGAAATGTACGAAAGATTGAGAAAATTCGTGTTAGAATTATTAATCTTACTTTTTCGGTCATATATATATATATATATATATATATATATATATATATATATATATATATATATATATATATATATATATATATATATATATATATATATATATGATCGTTAGAGAATTTCGCAATTTGGTTAATATTTTCCACAAATCTATCTGTATTCCTGTTAAGTTTAACCGCAAGATGGGAATAGAAGGCTTAATATACATATAACATTAATAATTCAATCAATATAGACGCATTAAATTGAGTCAACAATAGAAAATAGTACCTAATTTAGGAGTAGTGACGTAGTAGAGGCCAAGCGCGTACACTCGCACAGTCAGGTTAAGCATTGTTGGGTATGGCCAGTATCTAGACTGGTGACCGAGCACACTGCCTTACCTTGACCTGGGTGAACCTATAGCAGACTTTCTGTCCCGCAGACTAATATAAATGTTACTTGTTACATTTTTTATGAATATTATAAATAAATAAATATGAAGGTATATATTGTATAATTTAGCTTGATGGGATAAGAGGCTTGCCTGCCAAGCCTGGCTTAACTAGTGCCCACTCCTCGCTATTAGTGGCATCTTATACATTTATATCATCATTGACTAAGTAGTCAAGTAGTTGATCCTTAAGGAAGTGCTTTGTGATTCTGGTATCTGATGCCACAGGAATGTATGTATGGAATGTCTCTCATTTAAAAATCGATAATGAAAGGTAATGTTTTGGTTACGTTGTGTGTATGTCCCGACGCGCACATGTTTGCCAACCTGGGCCCGAAACGACGCCAACTTCTAATTATTCATTAAATGTGCATTTTGCTAACAAGAACCATCGTACGGTTTTATTCAGGACATGCAGAACAAACACATCAATGACTTCATCTACCCGGCACATTTCAAACTATTAGAGTGAGTGTTTGGGTGTATGAGGGCGTGGGAATGTTGAGGTGAGTGGCGGCGTGTGGCAGGTGTGGCACCACAACAAACATGAGGGAGACGCGGGCGGTCTTCTTCACTCACTCACACACACCCGCCAGCACCCGAGCGTCGCACCTCACTCCTCACACACGTTCATTCATCATCCCTGTGTAGCCAAAGCCCACCCATGTGTAACAAGGTTTTACTGCAGAAATTAAGTGTGGGCCAAGACACATTCCCATACCACAAAGAGTACGGATTAACGGAAGGTTATAGTGACTCCGTCGTGCTGTGGAGCTTGTAGGAGTTACAGAGGTACTCTCCAGAGATTCCTGCACCATCTCTACAAGGGGTTTTGCACGGTATTGCTACTCACAGTACTGGCCAAAGACATATTTTGCAGTGTCAGAAATGCAACACTCATTATAATCTTTGGGAAACCCACTTCATTTTCGAGTCCGGATCTCTTATGCATTATATCTCTTAGATAATTAGTATCTGCGTCATAATATAAACTTATTAACAAATAAAGACCGAGCAGCCTTGTGAGTAAACAAGAACCAGCAGCAGCATCTTGTGCGACCAAGTGTGATAATTTCCACTTAAAGAGTTTCACCTTCAAGGCGGAAGGAATTCCTATAATTGGTGTAGATGCTTCCGACACTATAACAGTGTCCTTTGTGAGTGTTAAGGTCGCAGTTGATCATCGCGCGTGACAGGTATATATATAAACGGCTCACCTGAAGGCAGAAAGCAGTTCCATCCTGAGGAGAAAAGTGTGGCCCACAGCCCAGTTCACTTGCTCAACGTCTTCAGTAGCCTAACAGAAATTCAAAGAATCACAAAGACGAATCACGACGGTTACTGGGACAAATTAGCTACGGCACATTACCCAGTTTTCAGAAAACTTGAAAAGCTAACTCAGTGTGGCGAACGGAGGTTGTTGTCTAGTCCTGTGTGGCAGTGGAGGAATGGCACCGACGCCTACCATGGAGCCAAGCGACGGCCAGGAGGAGTGGCAGCGCATGGCCCGCGAGCATCCCGTCATGAGGATGACCAGGAATGACAAGGGTGAGTACTCATCCTTTAATCCTTTAGCCTTGTCCCTTGATAAGGATGATCTCTACGTCAGGTACAAACTTTCAGTATAAAACTTTCAGTGTTTTGTGAAATTGCGCACCACTTCCGTTCCCAATAACTGAACAGTTAGGAATGAATTGTGAAACCCTTCTATGAATGAAAAACACTACATACAACTAATGAGGCTGATGACTTCAAATATTTCTTTAACACTACTTCGCTGACAACCTATTCGAGTAGCACTTTCAGTAAATGATTCACTCACGTACTGCAAATACAAATAATTGCAACAGAACCTAAACACCTAACCTAACCTACACCTAATTTTGCACAATATTCTAAAATATTTTATTAATATTTGAGAAAATACCGATTTTGAATACATAGTACGTCAACATTTATAAATGTGTCTTTTTTAGGGTCGGGCGCGGTTTGTACGAACATAGCCTAGGGATTGGTTAAAAGTTTGAAAATTTTGGTTTTCTTTTGAATACAGGCTGCCATCTAATTTTACGTTGTTCTGACTGCCTTGTCCAGCCCACCATCAAAACAAAGGACCGACCTGTTCTCAACGCATAAGTTAAATACTAGCATTAAAATCTACACAAGTCAGTATTTGATATATGGCTTACTTGACCATGTTCGAAGCTGTGACTCGAAACGTTCTTCGTTCACTTTCACCCTGTATTATAAATAATATCGAAATTAATGTAATCTAAACGCCTTCCATCGATCTAACTATGCATAAATCTTTAACTTATTGCAGCCACCCTTCTAAAATAATGTTATGGTACTTATATGAACTATTTGGCCAAAAAATGTATAAAAGTGGACTGGTGGACTCAAAAAAAGTTAGTTTTATGTTACTGAATTAGCCCAAATGGCATTTTTTAAAATGGTAAATTAACTAAACTCCTAACCTAACCTCTCCAAGTGATTCCAGGCCTGGGATTGTCTGTTATCTGGGATTCATACGTTATCTGAAGCCTAATATACGTTACTATCTGAAGCCTAATATAGAACACTAGAAGAAGGGGGGGGGGGGAAGGGCAAGGTACCCGACGTTGCTTGAATATGTAATGGAGATGCCACATCTCCATTACATACTATCTTCATTGTAACCAGCTTCCCTGAACACTATTTTCTACACTGTAACCGTCTGCTACATACTCTCCACTCTCCATTTCCTTCGCCTCTTCCCTCCTCTTCAACACCGTCCCTATTCTTTACCACCCTCCCTGCCCCATCACCAATTTCCCTATTCTCACCAACTTTCCTATCCTTCACCACCTTCCTTATTGCTCACCACCTCCTCTATTCTTCACTATACAAGCTAAGGAAAGGGGGGTGAGGCACGGCCCCAACCTCGAACAGTCAGACATACAGACATTCTCATATATCGATATAGATATATACTGTATATGCTGTATTAGACATTGATATTTTTTTGTCCATTACAAAATTTGTACAAAAACTTGTACGTACGACCAAATAGTTTCTGTAAGTATTATCATTTTAGGAGAATGTAAGTTGGTTTTGGAAAAGTTAGATTAGTGTACAAGGTCCCAGATTCACGAAGCAGTTACGCAAGTACTTACGAACGTGTACATCTTTCTTCAACCTTTGACAGCTTTGGTAACATTTATTAAACAGTTTACAAGCATGAAAACTTGTCAATCAACTGTTGTTATTGTTATAAACAGCCTCCTGGTGCTTCGGAGCTCATTAACTGTTTAATAATTGTAAACAAAGCCGCCAAAGATTGAGAAAGATGTACAGGTTGGTAAGTGCTTGCGTAACTTCTTCGTGAATCTGGCCCCAAGGAATCTGCAAATTAACGTAGGGGCGGAGTCTTCGAGTTCGACGTTGGCTTCTCTGATTTCTGTCATAATATTTGATGATATTGTATTCCATACAAGGGCTTACTGGTAAGGGCTGGATATAAACAAAAATGGTCGGTTGTGTTGTTTATTAGTCCCAAACACAGGTGGTCCGTACGGCAGTGACTGCTACTCTTGCCAGCCCTCTATTTTCACCTGTGGGTTTGGTCCGCTGCTTAGGCCTGTGACATCAGAGACATAGAGCCTTGTTATTGATGGAGACTTAAATGTCCACTTGATTTATCGGCTGAGACCTACATTTATGACGGAATAAAGAAGAATCACTAATTCAGTGACCATAGCGAAAATCTTGTATGTTTAGGTATAAATGGTAATTACATTTAATTTTGATAAACATTTAATCAATGGCATTACAATTTAAATGAATCAATCAGTCTGTCATTGCCACGTTGCATAGATAAAACCCTAAAAAATAAAGACATTCTTGGGTTTTGGCCCTAGAGAATATAATTTTAACTACGCAAGATATTACGTAATATAGTTTATGTTTTTGCTATTGCTTCAATTAATATATTGTCTTGAGACCTTGTGTTTAACAGTTGTTAAGAGCCTTCGGTCTCTGGAAGCTAGCCTTGTAAGATAATGTCTATAAACATTACTGTCAAGAGAGACTTGAAGGGAGGATGGTAAATTACTTCCTGGTGTAGCAGAGGATGATCTGCCTAGCTCATCATTTACAGAATGGTTATATGTTAGGGCTGATAAAGATAGTGGGGGAAAGTTTATTTTGTTATTGAAGTCAGCCCTCAAACTTGTTTCTCTTTATTACAGAAAATGAGACTTGGTGGATACCTTGATATTTATCGGACAAGAACTATCGCGGGTTCTATCCTATCGCATTGCCTTAATATTTTGCTATAACAATGATTATTTTATTTTTATTTTTATCAAATCGTTTCAGTTGGCTCACATTCTATTGGACCGGAGTTTGATTCCCTGACAGGGCGAAATTTGTGGCAACGTTTACACTCAGTGACTATCACAATGAAAATAAAAATAGGGAACTGTTATAGTTTGTAGTATGGTCAAATTGTACGTAAAGATTATTTGACAAAGCCCGTTTTCCTATTGAATGTGAGAAGCGTATACAGTATATCGTTAGGTTAGGAGGTATAGAATTAGGCGAGGCTGTGTTCACTAAATTCGAGAACGAATGAACTTTCCCAAGCATACAACTCACGTTTGCCTAACTCCCAAGTACTTAGGTATTGCTAAGTGAACAGAGCATCAGGTGTAAGGAACAGTGCCCAAAGTTTCGCTCTGCCAGGAAATCGATCTTGTAACCAATCGGTTGTGAACGGACTGCGTTACAACTCTGTAGAGTTGTCACGCAGTCCGTTACATCTCATCTCCCTTCTGCTATATTAAACATATTTAGCAGGCTTATTTAAAATTGTTGTAAAGTCATAGATAAGTCGGTCAGGATAAGCAACGTTTTGCTTGTCAAGTGTTTGGACGGGTGCCCTAAATATTCCAGCCTCGCCCTTGGCTAGACAGCACTCCTCACTAGATATCTCGTACAACAATTATATTATCATTGTTATACGCCTGAAGAATAATTTTGTAGAATATAACTCGAGTATATTAAATTAGGATTGCCGCAGGGTTAATGCGTTAGTCAAGGTCACTAACGAGGGACGTTTTGTAGTAAAAATGGCTTTTGTTGGAGAGAGAGAGAGAGAGAGAGAGAGAGAGAGAGAGAGAGAGAGAGAGAGAGAGAGAGAGAGAGATAAGATAAGACAGGAAGAGGATGGAGGACTGACTTGGGGGTACACAGTCCGTCCTACTTTCTCTTTGAATCTTGTATATGTCCTATTATTGCTACAAGGCTCGTGTAAGATGAGATGTGATAAGTTGAGATGTGCTGGGCTGGGATGAGCTGAGGTGTAATTGACTAAGATAAACTGAAATGTGCTGGGCAAAGACGAACTCAGGTGTGCTTAGCTAGTGAACTGACGTACAGTATTATTCATTTATTGGCACACTGGAAGGGAATCGAAGCAAGCAGACAGGTAAATAGGTAGACAGGAGGGTGGGACACGGAGGCAGGCAGACAAGGCAGGGCAGACCAGGCAGGCAGGCAGGGCAGGGCATGGCAGACCAGGCAGGCAGGCAGGCAGGCAGGTAGGTAGATGGACACATCAGATTGATCCTTGTGCTTAAATAAGCTACGGGTATTGACTTCGAGCTGAATCTCACCCCAATTAAAACAAGAATCAAAGGGGGGTAATGATCACGAATTCTAACAAGCTCATGTGTATCCAGTTGATATTTATACAATGTTTCCTCGGGGAGGGACCAAATGGAAAGTATTGGTTACACCCAACTGAGTCGTAGAGTTTTAAGAAAGAATTTCAATGTAATGTCGGCTGGTTAATTAAAATTCAAAAATTTCTTCGTGAATGGTTGTTCATTTAATTAACTTCGTTCAAATTTTAAGTACATTATTATTTATACAAGAACCAAAATAATAATAATAAGCCTAACATTGAGTATAATAAACTATATAAATCGGCGATTTTTTCTATGGTGTAATTTTAACTATCTTATAAGGGCTACATATGTTGGTTTAAAAGCAGGCATGCTTGCACATAAGGGTGTTGGTAGCAGCTACACCAGAAAGGCTGGACCCAGGAGATGAAGCTCAACCGTGGCACCCACACACATAAACAGGACGACCGGTTAGTGCAGACTGCAAGGTCACTTTCATCATATATACAAGCACACGTCCTAACCCAGCTGACTTGTTTTGCTCATAGCGTTATCTTGTTTCCTTGTTAGCCAGCATTATACTTTTATTGATGGATCTTTTTCTAGTTTTATAGCTAGTGTTTTCTGTTTTCATTATCTATTGATTTTCTAGTTCTAGATACTTGGGTTCCTGACGTGAAACGAACCTTAATTTGTTTTTGGTGAATACAAATATTTCTTGTTAGTGACACAGTGTAAATTATGTGTATTTAAAATTCTACAGATAATATATTGGTGAAGGTGTAATTGTATATTGTTTATCCCCCCCTTTAGGTCTTTCGGAGTTGGACTTTGCTTGCTTGCAAGCGTCTGGGAGTAGGTTAATTTCATTTTAAACAG